GAGGATCTAAACATGTGGTGTGGCAGCGATTTCTAAATTCACACCCTATTAGGCAGTGGTCAAACCCTGCAAACAGTGGGAGCGAAAGTAGTTACTTGTGTGTACAGAAAATGGGGAAGTACAGGGTTTTGCATCACACATAATCTGAAACATAATCTGCGTGAAATTAGGACGAACAGATTACAGAACAATGCTGGTGTGTCCATGGATCTGACCAGAAATTGAAAATGTCGCATCTGACAGTTTCCACTCAAGTATGTGGCCACACAAGCATATATACATGTACAAACAGTGTTCTTGGTAGATTTAGGTGATGTACTTTGCTAGTCTGATGGGGAAGTAGTTCATGTGTTTGCTCTTCCCGATGTACACCTAGGTGTTTGAACCCCACACTGATACTGCTCTTGGTGTCCACTGTTGTAATAAGTTCTGGTATAAATCGTTACACTGTTGTCAAGCAAGAGAGAGTAGGGAACATGGTACAGAACATATGTGATAGGTGAAGGATTATCAGCAACAAACATTATCAAGATGATAGCGATTAACATGAGAAGGTTAACTATGAGGAGGATACTAGTGTAAGAACATGATAGAGAGAGAACGCACGAGGAGGAAGCCAACTCATCGGGAAGTCAATTCAACTAGATTAAATTACTAGGTGGGATGATTTGAAAAACTATTGTTTATGGTTGTTGTATGGGATGAAATAGCCTTGATCTCTGTTGATTGATGGCTTGGTGCAGAAAATCTGGACTGCTTCTGATTGTTTTCTACTACTGAGGCCATGGAGGTTGTTTTCCCAGTTGATGTGATTTGGGTAGTTGCTGATATTGATGGCTGATTTAATGCCTAATCTCATTGTTGAAGTTTGTGCTCCTCATTCTGGTGTTAATGGGATGGGATGCTCACCCTCATTCGATTGTCCACTGTTGGTTGTAGTCCTAAGTTTATCTTGAGCGTCAGCCTCAGTCTGTCGAGAGTTGGACCGCCTCGAGATCTGTTGTCTTGGGAATATATCGTCTGCCCAGAAACTGTCTAGTGGTCTAGTGGATACAGCGTCTGCCCAGAGATTGTCTCATTGGTCTAGTAGACACAGCGTCTGCCTAGAGATTGTTTCATTGGTCTAGTTGATACAGCGTCTGCCCAGATATTGTCTCATTGGTCAACTAGACACAGCGTCTGCCCAGAGATTGTCTCACTAGTCTAATAGATACAGCATCTGCCCAGAGATTGTCTCACTGGTCTAGTAGACACAGCGTCTGCCCAGAGATTGTCTCACTGGTCTAGTAGATACAGCGTCTGCCCAGAGATTGTCTGACTGGTCTAGTAGATACAGCGTCTGCCCAGAGATTGTCTCATTGGTCAAGTTGATACAGCATCTGCCCAGAGATTGTCTCACTGGTCCAGTAGATACAGTGTCTGCCCAGAGATTGTCTCACTAGTCTAATAGATACAGCGTCTGCCCAGAGATTGTCTGACTGGTCTAGTAGACACAGCGTCTGCCCAGAGATTGTCTCACTGGTCTAGTAGATACAGCGTCTGCCCAGAGATTGTCTGACTGGTCTAGTAGATACAGCGTCTGCCCAGAGATTGTCTCATTGGTCAAGTTGATACAGCATCTGCCCAGAGATTGTTTCACTGGTCCAGTAGATACAGTGTCTGCCCAGAGATTGTCTCACTAGTCTAATAGATACAGCGTCTGCCCAGAGATTGTCTCACTGGTCTAGTAGATACAGCGTCTGCCCAGAGATTGTCTGACTGGTCTAGTAGATACAGCATCTGCCCAGAGATTGTCTCACTGGTCTAGTTGATACAGCATCTGCCCAGAGATTGTCTCACTGGTCTAGTAGATACAGCGTCTGCCCAGATAGTGTCTCACTGGTCTAGTAGATACAGCGTCTGCCCAGAGATTGTCTCACTGGTCTAGTAGATACAGCATCTGCCCAGAGATTGTCTCACTGGTCTAGTTGATACAGTAGCCCAGAGATTGTCTCACAGATACAGTCTGCCCAGAGATTGTCTCACTGGTCTAGTAGATACAGCATCTGCCCAGAGATTGTCTCACTGGTCTAAGTAGATACAGCGCCTGCCCAGAGATTGTCTGGTCTAGTCTAGTAGACACAGCTGCAAGCGTCTGCCCAGAGATTGTCTCACTGGTCTAGTAGATACAGCGTCTGCCCAGAGATTGTCTCACTGGTCTAGTAGTAGTAGATACAGCGTCTGCCCAGAGATTGTCTCACTGGTCTAATAGATACAGCGTCTGCCCAGAGATTGTCTCACTGGTCTAGTAGTAGTAGACACAGCATCTGCCCAGAGATTGTCTCACTGGTCTAGTAGATACAGCATCTGCCCAGAGATTGTCTCACTGGTCTAGTAGATACAGCGTCTGCCCAGAGATTGTCTCACTGGTCCAGTAGATACAGCGTCTGCCCAGAGATTGTCTCACTGGTCCAGTAGATACAGCGTCTGCCCAGAGATTGTCTCACTGGTCCAGTAGATACAGCGTCTGCCCAGAGATTGTCTCACTGGTCTAGTGGATATGGCGTCGGCCCAGAGATTGTCTCACTGGTCTAGTGGATATGCCTGTGCCCGGTGTCTGTCCTCCTTGGGCGGTGAGGTAGCCTAATGGTTAAAGCGTTCGCTCATCACGCCGAAGGCCCAGGTTCGATTCCCCACATGGGTACAATTTGTGAAGCCCATTTCAGCCATGATATTGCTGGAATATTGCTAAAAACGGCGTAAAACCATGCTCAGTCAGTCAGTCTCTCCTCCCAATTAAACCTGACAGGACATTATGTGACTTTAAACGTGAATCACCATGTACTTCTGATGTGTTGGCTGTATTTGTTGTGAGCAGAAACAACTCAACCAATCAGTTGGTTGAATCCGTTGTGGAAGGGACTTTAAGTAGTGTTATTAAGTTAAATAGGTTATTGATTGAGACTGGTAGTTAAAGTAGCTGCTCTGGCAGACGGGACTGACTGCACAAGAGCTGAACACTCACTTCACTACTGCCATCTTGTCTGCAGAATCTGGAACAGATCTCTTCCATTAGGACGACAAATTTGGTGCTATTATGTTTGATTCTGGTGTCAGTCCAGTACTGGAGTGGAAGCAGGGAAAGGCTGTGGGAGGAAAACATGCAACTGAACATCATCATCTTGAACTCTTTGACCTTGATTGTACTGACATCTTGTATCTGTTTAGCTGTTTTGTTATTTCAGAAACTGGTTTGTGTTTCTAACATGTCTGACAAAAGAAAATCTACATATTTAATCAGAAGACACTGAGCTTAGTTTTGTAAAACAGCGAGAAACAGATTTCCTCATTATTAAGATTACGAGTGTTTGAGAATCGCCTCTGAACTAACTTGGCCTTGCTCTCTTAATGAATGAATGTGGATATACTGCACTAAACTATGGCTGGGATTTCTTCAATTTCGTCAGTTATTGATGTGACACTGAAAGAATAATGATCAAATTTTGTAACAAATATTGTCATTGTCATCTCAGAACCCAAGAAGCTTAGCTGAAACTGGAGGATGTATACCGCTTCACTGGATCTCAGATAGAATTATGGGAAAAAAAAATTGAAGTTAGAACAATACCAAATGATTATAATATGTTCAAGAATATTCATCCCAGAAGCCACATATCACACTGATGAAATGCTCCTGGTGAAAATAGTAATTGCACCGCAGTGTTTCTTCTGTGTCTTTATGGGATAATATTTTGATACATCCTCTATAATTCCAGGGTTCCCATTCCCCCAGGATCCATTCCCATGGCTCATGTAATCGCAAGTTATCTGTCCTTGATTTTCATTGATGATTGGCAAATGGAAATAAAGGGCTGGTAATTTGATATTGTGAGAACCACAGGCATGGATCCAGGGGTTAGTGCAGCTGTACTGAAAGGCGAGCCAAGGGATGATTTTGCTATTGGAATAAAAAATATTCAAATTCGAAACAATATTGTAATCATGTTATCAGAACCCACTGAGAAAGTTGAAACTGGTATGATGTGAAACATGGAGAGGATCACTGAATATGAGTAAAGAAATTATTTGTTTTTCTAAGTAAATACAATGCCAAATCATGATGGTAATGTTTACAAAGATTGCCTGCTCCAGCCACTAGTCTCTATTCAATGTCAAGTGTGGTGCGGAAAATGGCTGCCATACAAAGTTCCTTTAAGTGTGCTTTGGCATCATCATCATGATCTACATTCATCTTCCCTCATTGTTGCTGATGTTGCAAAGATTTTACTTCTGAGAAACTGCTGCACAAACAGTTTAATTTTTTTACATTAAATTATATTTTTCGCATAACATGGTCCTTTAAGGTGTATATAATATTGAATTGATTCCAAGCTGTCCTTTCAAACCAAACAAAAAAACACACCAAAGAATCTTGTTTACTTTGCTGGCTAAAATTATTATGACATTACGAGTCAGAATGTACCAAGTGAAGTACAGAATCTTGGTGCAGTTATTCTCTAATTTAGCCCAAACATTTGTGCAACAACAAAAAGTAAAATTGATTTTGGCATGCAAAAGACTTTCACCTGAGCATTGTTCTTGTTAAAACTATAAATATAATGGGAAAGGACTCGGGAGGGGACATCTGTGTAATGGTCTTGTTCAAAGACATTCAACAGGTTTTTGATATCATTACAAGCTATTTGTTTTTGCCCTTTGCAGTAGAGAATGTAGATGTGTCGGCATGGTTGTTGTGCCTGAGAACCAGTATTTCTTTGTAGAAATTGATACTGTTTGGCTGCTTTTGAAAAACACAAGGGAAATGAAAATTTTAATCAAATTTCTAACAAGCATCTTTTAGAGTTTCCGTAGGAGGAGGAAGAACAAAGAACTGCATTCTCAAACCGATCTCCTTGTATTTTCTTGAATTAAAAGAATGAACTCTTTTGGCATGTTCAACACTGTACTAGAAACCATTGTGTCATAATTAAGTACCAGAGTTTGTTTTTTTCTTTTGCTAGATCTCCCAATTCTCAACAGACGATGATGCTGCAATAAATAAGAAGTTGCCAAAGGAGCTGTTGTTGAGGTATGCTATTAGTTACAACTGGTTTCAGGAAACTAGTTTTAGTTGGAAGGAAATTCCAGCATGCTATTTATGCAAGACTTGGCATTTGTGAACAGATTATAAGGAAAATCAGAAGGGATTTCATCTTTCTTAATGAGTTGCATATATTTGTTTAGGATGATTAGTTATAATCCATGGTCTATATTTTCCATTTTACCCACCAAAGTTCCTTTTTGTGATATGAAAACATTTCATTTTCTCATGAAAATGATAGTTAATGATATTTTGTTTTAGGTTTGATGGATTTCACGGATGGTTGATAATCAATGAAAGTTAATGATTGTGCACATACAAAACACTGTGTGACTTTGTGTAACATCATCCTTAGCAACGGTTTGCATTTGTTTTGTGATCGAAATAGTCTGCAGGCCCAATTGTTGCCATAGTAATGTGATTGTTTCTTTCTTCAGGATCTTCTCCTTCCTTGATGTGGTGTCTCTGTGCCGATGTGCTCAAGTGTCAAAGGTCAGTTCCTGCGTAGCCCGTTTAATGGGACCAGATCTTGTGTAGGCCTCGATGACCTTCATGGAGAGTAGTGTCATCATTTTTCAGTATTAGATCTTCCAGTATTGCAATTGCTCTATGTAATTCTATGTAACACTTGATGCATTCGTCTTTGTGACAGAAATGTTGAGTAATGCCTGTGGTTCTTTATGGGCATAGCCCTGTGAAGATTCAGGTTAGAATTGGTCCTCAGTAACCCATGCTTGTCGTATGAAGCGACTAATGGGATGGGTGGTCAGACTCACTGACTTTGTTGACACATGTCATCGTATCCCAATTGCGTAGATCGATGCTCATGCTGTTGATCACTGGATTTTCTGGTCCAGTTCACTGATGCGTTCATCAATGATTTATATTATGTATAAATGTATGTATTTTAGTAACTTCCATGTCTTCTTCACACTGTCACTAGCCCTCCCTCCTCCCTCCCTCCCTCGCTCTAGCTGTGTCTAAGATGAGCCACTGGTATGTTTCAGTTCTGGAATGTCCTGGCACTAGATGGGAGCAACTGGCAGAGAGTTGATCTCTTTGACTTCCAGACAGATGTTGAGGTGTGTAGTAGTGGTGCACCGATCAATCAAATAATCGGTTTATTGATCGTTAGACAATCAAACTTCGATTATCGATTTAAAAAAAATCAATCGATAACACTGAATACTATCTTCAAGAATAACGAACGATTGGTGTACATGCAAGATTAGTAAATACCTCCAGGTAGGCTCGCGATCACAGCCGTAATACAGGAAGTTAAGTCTATTTATAGCTTGCCGATTGAGCAGTCTTTTTCTTCTTGTGCAGGTAGTGGCTTGCAGTGTAACAACAGTTTTAGCGTGGATGCATATAATATTTAGACCCATGTTTAATTATATGTTAGAATATGCAAGCATTGATGAAGGTTTCGTAAATATAGCACGTTATGAAAATGTGGCTTTAAAAACAACAAATACTCCTGAGAAATATAACATGTGATCGAAACAAGTGGTTTGATTGGCTGAGCAGACTGTCAACAAAATGCCTGCTCTCCCGCACATGTACGTGTTCGCTTCGAGAAAACATTTTGTATTCGCGAAAGGCACAATTCTCGTCGAATTCATGAACAAGGTTGGAAATGGATAGCTTCATTGATATTAAGCACGTCTACTCTTAGATCTATAGCCGTTATATTCTGATTTCTGCATCGAAGTTGACAAGTAGATCTTGAGTTCAACGTTTCTCAATTTTCCCACACAAAAATAGTTGACAGAAGTATCATTTAGCTGTAAAAAGTGTGATCTAAATTCATATTTGTTGTCAAATACTCCATGATTTTCAATATCCTTTTGTCAAAGTGTTTTTTCATCCATTTCTAAGAAGAATGGGTTACGATCTCATGCCATATGACAGATCTTTATTACAAGCCATCTTGTAGCAGTCGTCTCATCCAGCTGGTCTTGTGGTCATAAGTCCATACTTGTAGTCGATCATTTATCGATAATTGATCGACAGAAGACATCGATAATCGATTATGATTTTAGAGGTCGATTCCCAATACTAGTATGTAGTCACCAACCTTTCTTAAATCTCCACAATTCCCCGAGTCTGACAGTGATGGTTGAGGTGGTACGAATACAATAGATAAGCTTCAGACCCTGTTTGTGTGAAACCAGTCTTCTCTCACTACATAATATGTAAGGGAAAGGCCTGTAGGGTTGGTGTTATAATAGGTATAGCCCAAAACAGTCATTATCCATGAAAAACCATGATTATTTAACCCCTTTGACCTATGCTTGTGACCATTGGTGACCAGGTAGTTTCTATGTCCAACAACATAATTGTCAAATAGTTGTCAGTGTGTATGTGTCAGTAACCTATGTGTGTTACCACAGGGTCCAGTTGTTGAGAACATTTCCAAGAGATGCGGGGGATTTCTGAAGTCCCTGAGCCTGAGGGGTTGTCAGAGCATCACCGACTCAGCCTTGATGTGAGTACACACAACATCCACAATAACCACCACACCACCACCCACCACAACAACCTCCACACCATCACCAGCACCACCCTCCACAACAACCTCCACACCATCACCAGCAACACCCTCCACACCATCACCAACAACACCCTCCACACCATCACATCAGCAACACCCCAACACCTCCACCACAATCCTTACACTATCACCAGCAACACTCCTCATCACCATCACCAGCACCACACACCCTCCACAACACTCTCCACACCACACCTCCACCCACCACACCATCACCAGCAACACCCTCCACAACAACCTCCACACCATCACCAGCCATCACCCAGCAACACCCTCCACACCATCCACCCATCACCAGCAACACCTCCACAACATCACCAGCAACACCCTCACAACACCTCCCACCATCACCAGCAACACCCTCCACAACACACCATCACCAGCAACACCACCCTCCACAACAACCTCCACACCATCACCAGCACACCCTCCACACACCATCACCAGCAACCTCCCACACCTCCACACATCACCAGCAACACCCTCCACAACAACCTCCACACCATCACCAGCACTCTCCACACCACCTCCAGCACCTTCTCCACACAACCTCCACACCATCACCAGCCACCCACCACACCATCACCAGCAACACCCTCCACCAACACCACCATCCAGCAACACCCTCCACACCATCACCCAGCAACACACCCACCACAACAACCTCCACCACCATCACCAGCAACACCCTCCACAACAACCACCACACCATCACCCAGCACACCCTCCACACCATCACCACCAACACCCACCACAACAACCTCCACACCATCACCAGCAACACCCACCACACACTCCACACCTCCACCACCACCATCACCAGCAACACCCTCCACCACAACCACCAGCAACACCCACCAGCAACACCTCCACACCATCACCAGCAACACCCACCACACCAGCCCTCCACACCATCACCAGCAACACCCACCACAACACCACAAATAACCATCACCAGCAAGCACCCACCCACAACAACCTCCACACACACATCACCAGCAACACCCACCACAACACCCTCCACACCATCACCATCACCAGCAACACCCACCACAACAACCCCACACCATCACAGCCACCTTCCATCACCAGCAAAACCTCCACACCATCACCCAACAACAACAACCTCCACACCATCACCATCACCAGCAACACCCTCCACAACAACACACCATCACCAGCAACCACCTCCAGCAACACACACACACAACCTCCACACCACCAACAGCAACACACCCACCACAACCTCCACACCACCAACAGCAACACCCACAACACCACCAACAGCAACACCCACCACACCACCAACAGCAACACCCACCACACCACCCATCATTCCAATCATCAGGACTTTGTAGCCAAGTAGATGTATACTTTGCCTTCTAGACATCAAATGCATTTTGTTTCCTTGTAGATAAAATATTGTACTACTTGTTTTCCTTTTTTCAGAAAATTTGCAGAGCAATGCAGAAACATAGACACACTATGTTTGAATAACTGCAAGAAAATAACAGATGTGTAAGTACCTGTAGTCTTCCTCTGTCCCAGTAAACCACAATGGCTGACAGTCTCTCTGTCCCAGTAAACCACAGTGGCTGACTGTCTCTCTGTCTCAGTATGCAACAATGTCTGACAGTCTCTCTGTCCCAGTAAGCAACAATGTCTGACAGTCTCTCTGTCCCAGTAAACCACAGTGGCTGACAGTCTCTCTGTCCGAGTAAACCACAATGTCTGACAGTCTCTCTGTCCCAGTAAGCCCAGTAAACCACAATGTCTGACAGTCTCTCTGTCCCAGTAAACCACAGTGGCTGACAGTCTCTCTGTCCCAGTAAACCACAGTGGCTTACAGTCTCTCTGCCCCAGTAAACCACAATGGCTGACAGTCTCTCTGTCCCAGTAAACCACAGTGGCTGACTGTCTCTCTGTCCCAGTAAACCACAGTGGCTGACAGTCTCTCTGTCTCAGTAAACAACAATGTCTGACTGTCTCTCTGTCCCAGTAAACCACAATGGCTGACTGTCTCTCTGTCCCAGTAAACCACAATGGCTGACTGTCAGTCTGTCCCAGTAAAACCACAATGGCTGACAGTCTCTCTGTCCCAGTAAACCACAATGTCTGACTGTCTCTCTGTCCCAGTAAACCACAGTGGCTGACTGTCTCTCTGTCTCAGTAAACAACAATGTCTGACTGTCTCTCTGTCCCAGTAAACCACAATGGCTGACAGTCTCTCTGTCTCAGTAAACCACAATGGCTGACTGTCAGTCTGTCCCAGTAAATCCCAATGGCTGACAGTCTCTCTGTCCCAGTAAACCACAATGCCTGACAGTCTCTCTGTCCCAGTAAACCACAGTGGCTGACTGTCAGTCTGTCCCAGTAAACAACAATGTCTGACAGTCTCTCTGTCCCTGTAAACCACAATGGCTGAAGTCTCTCTGTCCCAGTAAACCACAATGGCTGAAGTCTCTCTGTCCCAGTAAACCACAATGGCTGACAGTCTCTCTGTCCCAGTAAACCACAATGGCTGACAGTCTCTCTGTCCCAGTAAACCACAATGGCTGACAGTCTCTCTGTCCCAGTAAACCACAATGGCTGACAGTCTCTCTCTCTGTCAGTCTGTCCCAGTAAACCACAATGGCTGACAGTCTCTCTGTCCCAGTAAACCACAATGGCTGACAGTCTCTCTGTCTCAGTAAACCACAATGGCTGACAGTCTCTCTGTCCCAGTAAACCACAGTGGCTGACTGTCAGTCTGTCCCAGTAAACAACAATGTCTGACAGTCTCTCTGTCCCAGTAAACCACAATGGCTGACAGTCTCTCTGTCCCAGTAAACCACAATGGCTGACAGTCTCTCTGTCCCAGTAAACCACAATGGCTGACAGTCTCTCTGTCTCAGTAAACCACAATGGCTGACAGTCTCTCTGTCTCAGTAAACCACAATGGCTGACTGTCTCTCTGTCTCAGTAAACCACAATGGCTGACTGTCTCTCTGTCTCAGTAAACCACAATGGCTGACAGTCTCTCTGTCCCAGTAAACCACAATGGCTGACAGTCTCTCTGTCCCAGTAAGTTTCTCTGTCCCGTAAAACCACAATGGCTGACAATCTCTCTGTCCCTGTAAACCACAATGGCTGAAGTTTCTCTGTCCCAGTAAACCACAATGGCTGACAGTCTCTCTGTCCCAGTAAACCACAATGGCTGACTGTCTCTCTGTCCCGGTAAACCACAATGGCTGACTGTTTCTCTGTCCCAGTAAACCACAATAGCTGACGGTGTCTCTGTCCCAGTAAACCACAATGGCTGACAGTCTCTCTGTCCCAGTAAACCACAATGGCTTACAGTCTCTCTGTCCCAGTAAACCACAATGGCTGACTCTCTCTCTTGTGTCTCATGGTCCCCTGTTATATGTCTGTAAGCTGTTCTATAAGCTTCCACTTTGACTGCTATCGATTTACTACAAAAACAGCCATAAACATGTGTCACCATTTGTTATGTTCAACTGATATTTCTTTCAGAACATGTGCAAGCCTAGGAAAGAACAGCTTAAAGCTGATGAAACTAGATTTGAGTTCCTGCCCTGATATCACAAACAACTCTTTAAAAGCTCTCAGGTGAGACTCCCATCTCAATCACCTCATTACATGCTCTCATTGGATGTTGCGTATATCCCAGTACATGGGCTAGGGTGTTAGAAGACTTTGAAGTACTTTGTGCCCCTGTGATATGGTTTGATTATTGCTGCTAGCTGTTCATTGTTAACAATTAAACCCCTATTGTTGGTAAGAACAAATTCAGTGTGCAAAATAGTTTCCAAATTTTGCTAGCCAGTCAGGCTAGCTATGCCTGAAAGTTACTAGTTCACAAAATAATTCACTAGTCCGAATGTAGACACAGGTTTCATCATTAAGCTGCTAATATGATGAACATTTTTATCAGGCCATAATCTTGCATGATTCAAAAGTGTATTATAATTTAACAAGTCGGAGAGAGTGATGACACCATGTAAATTCACTAGCCAGTCGGGCCAGTGACTGTGGAAATTTGCTGGCCCGACTGGATTTTTACCAGCCATGGATTAGTGGGCCAGTGGCTATTTTTTGCACACTGCAAATTTAATCCCAATGGGTGGTAAGAACAAATGTAATATCCCATTTGCATGGCGGACAAATGTTCATATTACAATGTGGTGATTCTCAGTTATCACTTAGGCAATATGATGTCACTCTGCTCCTTTTCCGAGAGCAACACAACATCCATACCTAATCACCTTACAAACTGATGACATTTCGTATATTTTCTGTTCTTTTACCAGTGAAGATATGGAATAATCAACATGTGACTCAGAATGACTAATTAACAGGGTCAGAGTGGCCCATGTGAGGCACCTTTTGAAGCTGTGCAGAGTTATGTCCATGGGAATGCCAGGCTGCCTTTTGAAAGAATGATGTCAACAATTAGTATGAAGTCAACCCATTTTTCTTTTCTAACTCTGTCATTTTGAGCAGGAATTGGAAGAAAAATTGCAATGTCAGCCAGTAACTGCTAGTGTGTTGTTGGTGTTCTCTGCTTGACTGTATTGTAACACCCTCTTCTTGTTTGTGGGCAGTGATGGTTGCAAATTTTTGGAGGTGGTAGACATATCATGGTGTATGCAGATCACCAACGATGGTGTTGAAGCCCTCGCCAAGGGCTGTCCCAAGGTGAAGATCTTCATAGCCCGAGGCTGTAATCAGGTGAGTCCAGATTCAACTGGTTGGAACCAGATTGAAGTAGTTTGCTTCCTCTCATTGCTTTTCATTACAATGCTAGCACATATGTTTTTCTACCATGCAGTCCTAAAGGGATTGTGTTATGCTCTGTCAGTTGTTGTGATTGATCTATTACTGATGAAGACGACCTTGCCAAATATATCTTTAGTGTGATATTGGTTAGATTATATTGACAGACATGTTAGTCTAAAGTGTGTGACCTTCTTGACTTGTTAACACGACATCTCATGGACTGTTGTACCCAATGTCTTCAAATTTGGTGACAGCCTACATTGGGGGATTACCCACACACCAGTGACCTTAGTTTCAAGGTCACCACGACCACTTGACCACTTTCATATGACATTGCCATATTAGTTTATCTTGTTCACACTTGTTCATCTTGTTTTAACTTCTGGTCAGTTATTTTGTAGAAGAGGTCATTACTAGAAAGTGAAGGGCATTAATATTGGAGTGGAATATGGCCATCTGGCTCCTTTCATTTATGGGCCTTGGTCCATGCTTCTTTACTGTGTGAAATGGGGTCTAACTTTGAGACCTGAACAGATGTAACTAAACTTATTCTATTATGAGCTGAGAATTTGTGTCCAATATTTATATTAACAGAGTTATGTCCCTTGGCCTGTGTTTTTCAGCTCATTGCATATTTTGAGGAGACCTGGAACCTCGGCCTGGTGGCATGGTGATGTTACCTGTCTAAAAGTAATCTTGGTTTCATTGTAAGTCATGGAAGGCTCTTTTTGTCCCCAGATTGGAGATGATGGAATCCGCCACTTAGCACAAAATGCTACAGATCTTAGGAAACTCAATTTACAAGGTTGTCAGGTAAGTGGCCACTGAAGCTCTAGTCATACTGTAGCTACTTTAGCATAAGTCTCACCAAACCATTTTAGTAGCAATCCAGTTTAGTTTTTTTACCAACAATAGGTTTAATTCTGTATGAGAACTCTTGTACCAACATAAGCACTAACCCTGCTGTACCAACGTAAGCATTAGCCCTGCTGTACCAACATAAGCACTAGCCCTGCTGCACCAACATTAGCACTAGCCCTGTTGTACCAACATAAACTCGAGCCCTGCTGTACCAGGCCTGTTGCACCAACAAGCACTAGCCCTGTTGTACCAACATAAACACTAGCCCTGCTGTACCAACATAAGCACTAGCCCTGTTGCACCAACATAAACACTAGCCCTGCTGTACCAACATAAACACTAGCCCTGCTGTACCAACATAAGCACTAGCCCTGCTGTACCAACATAAACACTAGCCCTACTGTACCAACATAAACACTAGCCCTACTGTACCAACATAAGCACTAGCCCTGCTGTACCAACATAAGCACTAGCCCTGCTGTACCAACATAAGCACTATCCCTACTGTACCAACATAAGCACTAGCCCTGCTGTACCAACATAAGCACTAGCCCTGTTGCACCAACATAAACACTAGCCCTACTGTACCAACATAAACACTAGCCCTACTGTACCAACATAAGCACTAGCCCTGTTGTACCAACATAAACACTAGCCCTGCTGTACCAACATAAGCACTAGCCCTGTTGCACCAACATAAACACTAGCCCTGCTGTACCAACATAAACACTAGCCCTACTGTACCAACATAAACTCGAGCCCTACTGTACCAACATAAGCACTAGCCCTGTTGCACCAACATAAACACTAACCCTACTGTAACAACATAAGCACTAGCCCTACTGTACCAACATAAACTGGAGCCCTGCTGTACCAACATAAGCACTAGCCCTGTTGCACCAACATAAACACTAGCCCTGCTGTACCAACATAAGCACTAGCCTTGCTGTACCAACATAAACACTAGCCCTGCTGTACCAACATAAGCACTAGCCCTGCTGTACCAACATAAGCACTAGCCCTGCTGTACCAACATAAGCACTAGCCCTGCTGTACCAACATAAGCACTAGCCCTGCTGTACCAACATAAACACTAGCCCTGCTGTACCAACATAAGCACTAGCCCTGCTGTACCAACATAAGCACTAGCCCTGCTGTACCAACATAAGCACTAGCCTGCTGTACCAACATAAGCACTAGCCCTGCTGTACCAACATAAACACTAGCCCTGCTGTACCAACATAAACACTAGCCCTGCTGTACCAACATAAGCACTAGCCCTGCTGTACCAACATAAACACTAGCCCTGCTGTACCAACATAAGAAACACTAGCCCTGCTGTACCAACATAAGCAACACTAGCCCTGCTGTACCAACATAAGCAACACTAGCCCTGCTGTACCAACATAAGCACTAGCCCTGCTGTACCAACATAAGCACTAGCCCTGCTGTACCAACATAAGCACTAGCCCTGCTGTACCAACATAAACACTAGCCCTGCTGTACCAACATAAGCACTAGCCCTGCTGTACCAACATAAGCACTAGCCCTGATGTATCAACATAAACACTAGCCCTACTGTACCAACATAAGCATTAGCCCTGATGTGTCAAAATAAGCATTAGCCCTGCTCTTCATACAAAAGCCTGAGACCTAATAAACTTATGGCCCCACTGTGTATATTATGACATTCGATGTTTCAGCATATCACAGATGACGCGGTGAACACGATAAGTCTTTGCTGCCACGCGCTGAGCTTCCTGTGTGTGTCGAATTGCCCCCGCCTTACAGACGCATCACTCAATGCCCTCGGCACTGGCTGCACAAACCTCAAGTAAGAGCAAGCTGCTGAGACAACTGTACTGAGACAACTGTACTGAGACAACTGTACTGAGACTACTGTACTGAGACAACTGTACTGAGACAACTGTACTGAGACAACTGTACTGAGACAACTGTACTGAGACCACTGTACTGAGACCACTGTACTGAGACCACTGTACTGAGACCACTGTACTGTACTGAGACCACTGTACTGAGACCACTGTACTGAGACCACTGTACTGAGACCACTGTACTGAGATAACTGTACTGAGATAACTGTACTGAGACAACTGTACTGAGACAACTGTACTGAGACCACTGTACTGAGATAACTGGTGAGACCACTGTACTGAGACCACTGTACTGAGATAACTGTACTGAGACAACTGTACTGAGACCACTGTACTGAGACAACAACTGTACTGAGACAGACAACTGTACTGAGACAACTGTACTGAGACAACTGTACTGAGACCACTGTACTGAGACCACTGTACTGAGATAACTGTACTGAGACCACTGTACTGAGACCACTCTACTGAGACAACTGTACTGAGACCACTGTACTGAGACCACTGTACTGAGACAAGATAACTGTACTGAGACCACTGTACTGAGACCACTGACAACAACTGTACTGAGACAACAACTGTACTGAGACAACTGTACTGAGACAACTGTACTGAGACAACAACTGTACTGAGACAACAACTGTACTGAGACCACTGTACCGAGACCACTGTACCGAGACAACTGTACCGAGACAACTGTACCGAGACCACTGTACCGAGACCACTGTACCGAGACCACTGTACCGAGACCACTGTACTGAGACAAGATAACTGTACTGAGACCACTGTACTGAGACAACTGTACTGAGACCACTGTACTGAGACCACTGTACTGAGACAACAACTGTACTGAGACAACAACTGTACTGAGACAACTGTACTGAGACAACTGTACTGAGACAACTGTACCGAGACAACTGTACCGAGACAACTGTACCGAGACCACTGTACCGAGACCACTGTACTGAGACAACTGTACTGAGATACACTTCATGCTTTAAATAGGGAGATTCAGATTCAGCTGAATTATTGGTGTAGATGTTCATCTGTCTTTTCTTCAGTAGGTCATTGGTAACCCTGTGTTTCAGAACTCTGGAGGTAGCAGGGTGCAGTCACCTGACAGACAGTGGCTTCCAGGCGTTGGCGAGGGTAGGTGTTCTAAACCACACACACACATACTCACATACTCACATAAACACAAATATTACACACACAAACATACTTATGAACAGATAACTCCATAATTTCACAACATGCTAAGATATGAAACATAATTCCTTAATTTTGCCATATACTTTTTAATATACTCTTATAATTTTGATTGATATATGACATTGTTTATGCTTTATTGATTACAACACTCAAATGATTATTTAATGATGTCACCACAATTGCGTTGTCTTTTCTCTATGTTGTAGAGGTGGTTGCATAAGCCCCTGGCTTGTTCACCAATCCCCATTTCTTGTATTTCAGAAATAGAAATATGTTTGAACCACACACATACTTACAAAAACACACACACACACTGATACATTAACACACACATACAAGCTATTTATATGCTGTGTTCCTCTTCTGTGCCATAGTTTTGCCCACCTGTATGCAATTGTTCCTGTTCTGTATCCTATTGTTCCTCTTCTGTGTCCTTGTGTTGCCCACCTGTATCCTATTGTTCCTCTTCTGTATCCTTGTGTTGCCCACCTGTATCCTATTGTTCCTCTTCTGTGTCCTTGTGTGTTGCCCACCTGTATCCTATTGTTCCTCTTCTATTGTTCCTCTTCTGTGTCCTTGTGTTGCCCACCTGTATCCTATTGTTCCTCTTCTGTGTCCTTGTGTTGCCCAGCTGTACCCTATTGTTCCTCTTCTGTGTCCTTGTGTTGCCCACCTGTATCCTATTGTTCCTCTTCTGTGTCCTTGTGTTGCCCACCTGTATCCTATTGTTCCTCTTCTGTGTCCTTGTGTTGCCCACCTGTATCCTATTGTTCCTCTTCTGTGTCCTTGTGTTGCCCACCTGTATCCTATTGTTCCTCTTCTGTGTCCTTGTGTTGCCCACCTGTATCCTATTGTTCCTCTTCTGTGTCCTTGTGTTGCCCACCTGTATCCTATTGTTCCTCTTCTGTATCCTTGTGTGTTGCCCACCTGTATCCTATTGTTCCTCTTCTGTGTCCTTGTGTTTGCCCACCTGTATCCTATTGTTCCTCTTCTGTGTCCTTGTGTTTGCCCACCTGTATCCCTATTGTTCCTCTTCTGTGTCCTTGTGTTGCCCACCTGTATCCTATTGTTCTTCTCTTCTGTGTCCTTCCCTTGTGTTGCCCAGCTGTATCCTATTGTTCCTCTTCTGTGTCCTTGTGTTGCCCCCTGTATCCTATTGTTCCTCTTCTGTGTCTTTTGTGTTGCCCACCTGTATCCTATTGTTCCTCTTCTGTGTCCTTGTGTTGCCCAGCTGTATCCTATTGTTCCTCTTCTGTGTCCTTGTGTTGCCCACCTGTATCCTATTGTTCCTCTTCTGTGTCCTTGTGTTGCCCAGCTGTATCCTATTGTTCCTCTTCTGTGTCCTTGTGTTGCCCAGCTGTATCCTATTGTTCCTCTTCTGTGTCCTTGTGTTGCCCACCTGTATCCTATTGTTCCTTACCTGTATCCTATTTTTACAGAATTGTCACGAACTTGAGAAGATGGACCTAGAAGAGTGTGTCCAGGTGAGTAGCCATCAATGTCAGTCTTTACCAGTACAGCTCAGCTCTAGTTATGGGGCACTTCAAAAGTGTGATGTATTGTTCAAATTAAATCAATAAGCTGATAGGTGAGAGGGGATAACCGACTTACAAATGTTCCATCACACAGATTCAGCTTTTCTTGAGACAGAAGGTTCCAATAAATACATGAATATGCTTTAATCATTGTATTTGACTGAAAATGTGTGTACGGATTGCTGAGTAGGATCCAATTAACAAGAAATCTCCCTTCAGGTGGGGTTTCGGGGGCATTGTATAGAAACTAAACTGCGTTTGGCAGTTGTTTTGTGACAGTTGTCTTTTGCAGTAATTTTGTGATAGTGTGAAATGTGATTGTATCACAATCTGTGTCACATTTAAAGACATTAAAAGATGTTGCTTGGTGTTACACTTGCCCTTGGGTAAAGCAAATAGAACAAGGGCTGTTGCTGTGTGAGCTATCACTGTTATGTAACTAGCATTAGTCCAACCATTATAAGGATACAGCACATGCACAAATACAGATTGAAAAAGTAAATGGCTAACAGATATAGTTTCCATGTGTCTGTCGATACTGATAATGACTGCAGCGGGACAATGATGCATGTTTTCCCTTCATCAATGTCTTGTCATCAGACTAGTCCTGAATGTTCTCTACCTGACCTGACTCTACCTGTACGCCAGTCAGCCATCTTCTCTTGTTTCTGTTTCAGATAACAGACACAACACTTGCTCATCTAGCTTTGTACTGTAATAAACTAGCTGCCCTGGTAAGTCTCATATATTTCATGCTTGCTCATTCACAATGGAGTTTTCAGGGGAAAAGGCTATATATGGTTTTGGTGGAAAAGGTGAAACAGACAAAAAAATGTGTATTTCCTACTGCAAATGTGTGATTCAAGCCAATGAAGAAACCTAAACAATGTCTGTTCAAGTCATCCAATAAATACAGATTACATTTAGGTCACATGAAATATAAACTCTTGACGAGCCTATGTGCATCCAAATAATGATGATTACCCATTAAGATATGGGTTGGAATTGGTCTTCAGTAACCCATGCTTTGTCATAAGAGGCGACTAACACGATTGAGTGGACAGGATCGCTGACTTGATTGACACCTGTCATCATATCCCAATTGAGTAGTTTGATGCTCATGCTGTTGATCACTGGATTGTTTGGTCCAGACTCGATTATTTACAGACTGCCACCATATAGCTGGAATATTGCTGAGTGCGGTGTTAAACAGCAACCAAACAAAACCAAATCAAATACAATGATGATATTTACACTGATGATGATGATGATGATGATGATGCTGATGATGATGATGATGATGATGATGTTTCAGAGTCTTTCCCATTGTGAGCTGATCACAGATGAAGGTATCCGCCAGTTGGGCAACAGCCCTTGTGCCATCGAACACCTGGAGGTGCTGGAGCTGGACAACTGCCCTCTCATTACTGACGCTTCCTTAGAGCATTTAATGGCGTGTCAAAGTTTGGAGAGAATAGAACTTTACGATTGTCAACTGATCACACGTGCTGGGATACGCAGATTACGGGTAAGTGAAAAACAGTATATCATGTTGATATGTCATACCAAATACCAGGCTTGGAGTCCAGGAGTGCTTTCATTTCAGAACTCTCTTATTACTGTCCCTCACTATCATTGCTGGAGTATTACAACTTGAAACTAGCTTCCATATATACTACTCGAAAGATATTAAGGAACACCTTATTTTTTCGTATTGCTATAGTTAATCTCTCCTGCCATGTAAATGACAGTAATATGTAAAGAATTTGGTGTTCATCATCTTGTATGTTGTATGAACTCATCATGACTACTGATGGGTCACACAGATATATAGAAATAAAACATTAACTTCCTTGAGTACAGTTGATCTTTATCTGGAATGAACAATTTTATACTCACACTGACCGTTACATATCATGTATTGCATGTGCTTGGGTTAAATCACTGGATGGACCGATGAAGATCCCGGTTAGAATTGATCTTCAGTAGCCCATGCTTGTCATAAAGTCAAAACTAACGGGATTGGGTGGTCAGGTTCGGTGACTTGGTTGACACATGTCATTGTATCCTAATTTTGTAGATCTATGCTCATACTGTTGATCACTAGATTGTCGGATCCAGACTCGATTATTTACAGACCGCCGCTATATGGCTGGAATATTGCGTGGTGGGGCGTAAATCTAATCTCATGCACTCACTGAACCACTGGACAATTTCAGGCATGACTTTTGGGTAGCTTTATGCATCACTTTCCATTTTGGTTTCTTTCATTGTTTTTAACAATTATCCTATTTTACACTTTATGCATACTTAAACAACAATTAAGTCACTTCTTGATCACATTGTCCGAATATTCAGACCGATCACCCTTGCTGAAATATGTTCATGTTTGACACCCTACACATGTAGGTGATCCTTCAGTGATGACGTGTAGTAAATACTACCCTGTCCTGAGGTTGTGCACAGATGGAGTTGTGTACATCCCATCCTATGTATTACAGGTGATAGGATACAAGTAAACATGATGTCATTTTGCTGTTTCAGACGCGACTTCCTGATATCAAAGTTCACGCCTACTTTGCACCTGTGACCCCGCCCCCTTCTGTGGGTGGGGGCCGGCAGCGGTACTGTAAATGTTGTGTCATACTCTGACGACGAGAGGTTCTTCAGGGAGGATACCCCTGCTTGGACTTGACTGTCAGTGACATTGTGTACTTGTGTTATAACATGCCTGATATAGTGCTTCATCGTACCTTGGATATTATACTATCAGTGGATATACTATGTATCGTCTAAGGTGTGAAGACATGTATCACAGGTGTATCAGTTGTATTACGAACCACTCTCAGGTGGATTTCAGCAGACTTATCCTGCAAGTTCAATTATTACCTGCCACAGCAGGAATTCCAGGTGATATCAGCTGATATCTGCTGGTGATGTCATTACCATTGAACATGTGATGGACCAATGGGATCAGCTTATTCAACAAATGATATCATCTCACAGTGAATCTTCTCAACATTTCAATCATCATGAACAACACTGTGTAAAGGGAAGTAACTCAATGCGTAAGAATGGAAACTCCCACAAATGGGTGGTCCTTTCTAAAGGGAGGTAACTCTGCATGGACTATTCTTATACATTTGGTCAACACAGTTTTACACAGGATCACCATGTATTCTTTGTCGGTCAGTTCAGCTGAAACCTTCTTCTGTCTTATTATATTGCATTTCTTAACAAGTGAGTTGAAAATCCTTCATCAGGGTTTAACAATTATTAATACATCTTGATGCAAATCTCCATGAAATAACCAAACCTAGTGCTGGGTCATAACAAACTTCCTGCTGTTCCATGATCACAAGAGTTACCTCCCTTAGTGCAATCTCAGCCCCGTCTTGTTGACCTGCTCTTTTACCACTTACAACAGCTTAGTTGTTATGACATATAACAACGCAACTCGTACAGGAAGCTACTTTCTGTTGACATCGTGATATGAACTGTTACTTTAGCCATTGAGCAAATTCAGTTCTTAAACAAGGATCAGTTGCTTGCATGAGAACCTGTGGACAATGTTTGTAAGATATTGTTGATGCTGTGAATGTCGGTGTACAATGTTATGATATTTCAGTTGTTGCCAACCTTTTGATTCCACAGAAGAACAACACCAGTGAAGTATAGATTGTAAGGATGGCTTTTCTACACCATGTGATATGACAGTGATGGGGAAGACAGTACACCCCTACATTTTAGTCCTAACTCAGTGTGTGATGAAACCTAGCTAGTTGTAGGATAGCAGCTTTCTCAGCTCCATGTGATATAACAACATAACACCCTTACACACAAGTCCTCTCTCAGTGTGTGATGAAACATAGCTGGTTGTAGGATAACAGCTTTCTCGGGTCCTTGTGATACACTAACATCCCATCCTTACACATAAGATCTATTTCTGTGTGTGATAAAACATAGCTAGTTGTAACGTAATAGTTTTCTCAATTCCTGTGTGATATAATAATAACATAACTCCCTTACGTTCATGTTCTATATAGCTAGTTGTAAGATAACAACTTTCTCATTTCCCTTAACACAAGTCCTATTTCAGTGTGTGATGAAACATGGCTAGGTTTAGGATATGAGATATATATTCGTGTATATCCTAGATCGGTATTTAATAACTCTCATAGTGACCGAAGAAACAGTACTTTTTTACTGGATATGTGCTATTTTGCCACAAGAGAAGTCTAACAGATGAAATAGTGTGATACTTGAAATGATTTCCAGCCAAGGCCCTAATATTGGTGTCTCATGTAGAGGGACCGTTGGAGGTAACATGTCACAGTTACCATCAACAGTTAACATCAGTTAACATCTGCAGTTAACCCATGCAGCTGAAGCTTGTACAATGTTGAATCATTATCGCGTTCATAGTGGACCATGTTGTGTGCTTCAAACGTAGCCTGGTTAATTATGTTTGCTGATTACGTGACAGATATGAGATTATATTATTTCTGTGTGCCTGGCGTCTGTGAGTCAGCATGCCATGAGTGCTCCTACTGGTATGATTGTGACCTCCTCTCTATGGTATATATCATATGTCATACAGTTCTGTATGGTATAAATCACATATATCGTTAGTTCTGTATGCTATATATATATATATATATATATCATTTATATCATATAGTTCTGTATGGTATGTATCATGTATATCATATAGTTCTGTATGGTATGTTTCATGTATGCCCTATAGTTCTGTATGGTATGTTTCATGTATATCATATAGTTCTGTATGGTATGTTTCATGTATATCATATAGTTCTGTATGGTATGTTTCATGTATATCATATAGTTCTGTATGGTATGTTTCATGTATGCCCTATAGTTCTGTATGGTATGTTTCATGTATATCATATAGTTCTGTATGGTATGTTTCATGTATGCCCTATAGTTCTGTATGGTATGTTTCATGTATGCCCTATAGTTCTGTATGGTATGTTTCATGTATATCATATAGTTCTGTATGGTATGTTTCATGTATATCATATAGTTCTGTATGGTATGTTTCATGTATATCATATAGTTCTGTATGGTATGTGTCATGTATGCCCTATAGTTCTGTATGGTATGTTTCATGTATATCATATAGTTCTGTATGGTATGTTTCATGTATATCATATAGTTCTGTATGGTATGTTTCATGTATGCCCTATAGTTCTGTATGGTATGTTTCATGTATATCATATAGTTCTGTATGGTATGTTTCATGTATATCATATAGTTCTGTATGGTATGTTTCATGTATGCCCTATAGTTCTGTATGGTATGTATCATGTATATCATATAGTTCTGTATGGTATGTGTCATGTATGCCCTATAGTTCTGTATGGTATATATAGCATCTATACCCTATAGTTCTGTATCATATATATAGCATGTATATCCTATAGTTCTGTGTGGTATATATCACGTATATCCTGTAGTGCTGTAAGGTATGTCTTATAGTTGACACATATGCAGCAGGTGTCTGGAACATGCCACAGTTTCCTAACATTTGTATGGCTTCTTTCAAGATATGATTTATGATGAGAACTCCTTTTGCCAGTTTCCTTCTACCAAGCCTGCTCCCTTGATGATCTACTCCGTGAGTGGTGCAGGTAGTGATTGCATGATAGCATCCATCTACAGATCTGTATGTATGTTAGCTGAGCTGATGTGATAATAGTTGTTTGGCTGGAAATGGCTCTCCCAAACGGCCAACAGCAGAGAAGATAAATCCACTGAGAAACACTCGCTATTGCTAGGGTAGAATTAGCTTTGTTACAACTGATCATTTACTGCATATACTTGAAAGTATCCCATATTGGGTGTATGTATCACAGTGTTGCAGTGTACACGTCAGGATACAGTTTGCTAAGTACACTGCTTACATAAATGTGATACTTTGGATAGAAGCTTTGGTCACTAAATCAGTATTGAGTATACCACAACAATATGACTTGTTGCCAGCTTTCCCATCCATGTGAGTTCATGGTGGCCTTACAGGCTTACCATTCATATGGGTTCAGGGTGGCCTTACAGGCTTACCATCCATATGGGTTCTGGGTGGCCTTGAAGGCTTACCATCCATATGGGTTCAGGGTGGCCTTGAAGGCTTACCATCCATATGGGTTCAGGGTGGCCTTACAGGCTTACCATCCATATGGGTTCAGGGTGGCCTTGAAGGCTTACCATCCATATGGGTTCAGGATGGCCTTACAGGCTTACCATCCATATGGGTTCAGGGTGGCCTTGAAGGCTTACCATTCATATGGGTTCAGGGTGGCCTTACAGGCTTACCATCCATATGTGTTCAGGGTGGCCTTGAAGGCTTACCATCCATATGGGTTCAGGGTGGCCTTGAAGGTTTACTATTCCTATGGGTACTGGACATCCATGTATCAGTACAGACAAGCCATGAGTCACTGTAGCCATTAAATCATGATACAGTGTGTGTTGTGATAGTTTCCCGGTTTAGAGGCCAAGTAATGGTCCTTTATCTGTGTCAGGCATCTGTGACCTGTTTCACACTAAACTGACGGAATATGTCTTGCCTGAAGTAAAGATTAAAGTATTGTTAAACAGACTCGCATACCCACCTCTTCTTGACACACCAAATACATATCATTGTACAATATCTTCAGAGTTAAATTGTGCTAATTTATTTATATTTTGAGCATAGAAGTACCAGTTATATAGGAAATGATATAAGATGTGTTACTACAGAATAAGGCTTACGGTTGGGCTTGTGTCATGGTGCATCAAGAAATTGTTTCATCCTTTGTCAGCTTTGTAACTGCAAAGGACTGGCCAAAATCTGCTCACACTAAGGTTCAGATATCAATATGTTGTTGCTAAGTTTCAAATATACTACACAAATTAGAACACACCATTTTTTCTAACAGTGAGTGAGCGAGTTTAGTCTTATGCCGCTTTTAGCAATATTCCAGCAATATCATGGTGGGGGGACACCAGAAATGGGCTTCACACGTTGTACCCATGTGGGGAATCGAACCCGGGTCTTTGGCATGACTCTAACAACTGAAGTTTGTCGTGACATAACAGAATAACTAGTATTTTAGATATATACTACACTTAGAACACCCAAGTGACTATAATTATTCTTGACATGACATGACCCTTCACATCTGTTCAATAGTCTGGGTGCAGCTTTTCACAGGGTCCCACCCCTTCAGTGCTAAGTATCCCATTATTGATTTCTAAATCCTAGCCTCATCCTGACGGTGATCATGGTTATGGCATGCCAGAAACCAGTTATCACGAGTTTGGATCCCAGTTCTCCGGAGTTACATTTTAGGTTTGCCAGCACCATGCACATACTCGTGAGTTTCACAGAGGTAGTAAACGTCTTCGACCCACATGACCATGATGCCACTGGAGTACTGGTCAGAGTAGCCTCGAACAATGTCACTCCTTCATGTCAGTCTGTGAAGTTGGGACGGGGTGTGTGTGAAACATAGGGTAGATGTACGTGATAGCAGGTATTGAGAAAAGTTAGGGGAGTAGTTATGGTGGTAGCTTGCCCTGCACAGGACCCTGGTTCAAGATTTTTTCAGTTTCAAGGTCAAGGACATTCTCAGTTCCCCTCCAGTAATTCTGCTGAAAAACAGCTCAGCTTGAAACACATACAGTATACACTGATGTGGCACAGTGGTTAGTGCTGTTTCTCAACTCCTGTGTTCATTCCCCTTGGTTAGACATCACCTGTGAGGACAGCATTATTGCAGAAATCCCATTTAATCATTTTTCCCCTGCAGAGTCCACAGATCAACCCATCAGCTAGCACATGCGATTAAATTAATTCCCCAATTTCGGATTCATAGTTACTATCATTCAGAAAAAGTCAGATTTTCGTTAATTTCCATGGCTACTAGCAGAGATACCTAGAGAGCTTGCGCACACAGTAATCAGTTTGTCTTAGTTTTCGTGTCATCTTATTTGTTTGCATGGTCAAGTTTGATTAGTCTGGCCAGAACAAAAGTGGTTTACCATATCTGTTTGGTAGTGATATGTATTTATGGATTCCTGCGTTTCAACTTGATTAATGGTATTGTTATAATCACTGTATTAAACTGAAATGTGTTATATCTGCTGTTAATGCATTGAAAGAAGACATCGTCTCATTAAGATCAAGCAAATCAAGACAACATTTCCGAGAAAATTCATGCATTCAAGTTTCGATTTAATCAGTAGTTGGTGACTGGGTTCAGATGTCTACACTACACTTTCACTGTACAACAGCTAAGACAATACAACTATACTTGTGTTTCCATCTCCCAACCAATTCACATATGTAACTAGTTGTCAAGTAATATCATCAAACCATTTAAAAAAAGAAAGATATTGTTCTATTTTTCAATATTGACCAATGTATGTTAGACTTAATCACTTAAAGTCATATTACATGAAACGCAAGTACATTTGTTTTGGCCTGAGGTACAACTGTCTACCAACTGTTTCCAATTGATTGAGTATGTTATATAAGTGTGTATAGGTGTTAGCAAATACTATTTTCTGTTCAACTGTTTTCAAATTTGTAACATATTGTTAGAGACTTGTTAATGTACCATGTTTGTGCTTCTTTCAATCTCACCTTGCTTATTGAATGTTTGTATACAATATTTAATTTATACTCTTTTATATGGGCCTTCGTAGGCCTGTCTGTGTCTGTGTGAGGTGTGCTACCTTGATGAGTTGAATGACCATGTGTGTTGTGTACAGAGTTACTCCACTTGAATTCATTCATGTCTAAATTATTGAGCATCGTGAGTTCCAGCAGACTACAAAATAAACAGATATGGGTGCACTTTCTTCTTGACGTTGAATAGAGGCTCGTCACACTAATGGGTTTGATCACTCCACAGAGGCCTGCTCTAGCAAACCAATAATTACAAAATAATATATACAGAGAAAAACAAATAAAGGATCACAGGAAAATTTAAGCGTTCCTTTATATTTTCCAGTTTTCATCACCACAGCGCTATTCAAAGCTGGAGATGAAAACTGGAAAATATTAAAGGAATGCTTGAATTTTCCTGTGATTCTTTATTTGTTTCTCTCAGTATATTATCAGAATACACTTTCTTCTTTACTGTGACTCCAGGGTTCTCCTACTGTTGAGAGTGGTCACTCCACAGATGGATGCCACTTCCTGTACTGGGCATTAATGGACCGACTTCATGACTTGCTCAAACTCTTGTGTGTGTTCAGTAGAAACTCCAAGATGTGGTGGCATCAAAGACAGCAGAGAAAACCAGCCAAATATTTAGAAGCAATAGCACAGGGAAATTGTTGAAATATTAAATACGAGGGATAGGACTTGCTTTCCTTTATCAGTGAACTTAGTTTCACATCAGTAGGTTGAAGTTGAATCAGGGGGATTCATGTATCTGATTCATGTTGAATCATCGTGGTTAAGAGCAATTCTCATCAAGTGAGACACAAAGCTTAAACTGAAGTACATTTTTATTCGAACGATTTTAGTACTAAAGTTTTTCTTGCGATCAAGGAATGACCAGGTTTCTGAAACTGGCTTCTTGACAACTATTGTAAATTATACTACTCAGCATTTGCAAGGGATCGTGTTATATAACTATACAGAAACAATAGGTGAACTTGAGTGCTTTACTGACTTTAGTTAACAATGAATGAAGATGCAAATGCTCCAGGTGCCTAGTAACATGAAACACTATTTGTATGAAACCATCTCCAAGCAACAGCCAATCTCCAGGTCTTACACTCTGAAAATCCCTTTCAACTGTTGGGTAGTATACATCAAGAAGGTTTTCGGATAACAAGGATGAAATTATCATGATGTATTATGTCCTTGTAAAAGATTAAATACGTACAGATGAGGACTCATTATGTGATAATTTAGATAACGATATATGTAGTGTCCTCATAAACGAGTGGAATAATTAACAGTAGAGCAAATACACCCATCCCAGCACCTGGGTGTGTGAGGGGTGCATGGTAGGCAGACCCTCGTGGTATCAAGCACCATTATATCTCACACACACGTCAGTGTCTATGCAAACAACAGCATTATGAACAGTAGGAGAGGTTCTGTTTCACTATTTTTGGTTAGGTTGATGAAAACTACAAAATTATTGTTCACTTTATTTTGAGATGAATGGCTGGCCTTGTATTCATGTTCTGTCCTTTACACAAGATTAAGGTAGGTGATGCCACTCATCTGCTAAGGGTCGGCATTGGCATGCTCAGTAACAATGTACAATACAAATCGTCTCTTGGTTCACATGTACCGAGAGAGCTCTTCTGTTTGACGACCTTAGACAAAGGCTATGTACCAAGAAAATCCTTCAGTTTGACGACCAGATGCTATACTGTTCTATGACCTGACACTAGGACTTATCTCACGTCTCTTGTTTGAGAACCTGACGCTAGGACTTGTTACTGAAATAGCTATACTGTTTGACAACCTGACGCTAAGACTTTTCTAGATGGAGATTATTTTTGTTGTTATGGTAATATCTGTATTTTTCAGATGTATTTGCTATATTGTAACAGAACGAGGATCTAGGAGTTTTATTTATTGAAACACAAATGATGTATATAGTTAGTTGACAGTATGCCCCATACGTCAACACATTGTCCGATGATTCAGTTCAGTTGAATTCTTTGTAAAGATGATGTAAAGCTGCGGATCACATCAGGCATAGTAGTGCTTTCATTGACCTGGATAACCTACAGCTGTGATAGATACTGTTTACTGTATAGATATAAGCACAGGGGAGATTATCACTGTTGTGGCCGAGAAAGGAAAATATTGCATCCTGGATTATGAAGATAAATTTCAGTTGTAATCATTTGTTTTCATCTTTGGTAAGTTATTTAGGGGTAGTTTAGCTTTTCTTTTAAAGGTTGATCTTCAAAGAAAAATACTTTGAATAGAAATATCATCATTTTACTCAAGAAAGTCATAATTTTCTGATTTCCATTCCTTGTCATAACAGTGATACAAACCCCAAGCTGACCAGGGAACCAGTCATTTATCATTGGGATGGGCATATAGGAACAGTCTGGAGTATATGGGGGAGGGGGTGAAGAGGAGGCTCAAATGTTTCTACTTGAAAATATTTAGGAGGGGAAAGGGGAATGGTCATGATTAAAATAGAAATTATGTGTCAAAAAGAAAACGAGTATTTATCTTTGTTTAGTCATGGCTGTAAAATCCCCATCTGATAAATGACCGGTTCCCCCTATGTATGGCCCAGTCACACAGACATTGTCCATTCAATCTCCTGTCCACTCACTCCATTACACCACGGATGATCCACCCTCAAGAGGGGAGCATGCCTTTTCGCTGAATCAGCTTAATTGCAAATCAGTTTGCTAATTCAATGTTTGTCGTCATAAAGAGGGTTGATGGTAAAACATGAATTTGGCAAGTCCTTCTGTGTGAATTGGCCATTGAACAAATGCCACCATCTTTCTTCTTGGAGCTGATAAGCAGTCAGTATTGCAAGATGTTCAAAATATAACAATCTCCAAGACGAGACCTTTGTGTGAATGATTTTGATGAAATTTTAGATCTGCATTTATATGTGTTTTTAATGAAAATAAGATGTAAATGTATGGTAAATACAGAGTATGAGGTTTATGACTAGCATTTCGCTGGAATAAATTTGATTGCTTCCACATTACTTGTGTATTGTTTTAGCCTACCTCATTCTTGTCTCTTTCATTGAATTTGACAACCATCACAAAAGAAGGTGCAGTTGAAGAGAAACTGTATCACTCCCATCACCATTACTGGTCATTGGGGGAAAATGAGTCAAAGGTCATGCAATTCTCTTTGCAGAGTTACATCCCTTATCTATGGCAGGAACCTATGACTGTGGATTCAGATCCTGGGTTGTCAGCACCATATCAGTGGTTTTACCAAAGAGGTAACATCTGAGACATGCACCAGTTCAGGAAATTCTCTCACATTAAGCTGACGTGATGTAATACACCTGGAATACTGTAAAACAGGGCAGGAAACAAGTTCACTCCCCTTACTGCTCAAGAGGTGAAGCTTGACCTCCAGAACTATGCTTTCCTCCCATCCACACAGTACCCAATTTGTCAAGATGACTAAAGTGGGGTCCAGGTGTTCTAGTAAAGCATTATGACCACCAACCAGTGATGATCTGTCAACCAATGGTTTGTGTGCTCCAGGCCTGAACACCTGGATACAAGATGCAGGGTCAGATATGAAGTCCACCACAGTTGTGCTCATATTATCCAGAGTACTTGTCCTTCATTCTACCTGGACAAATATTGATGAATGAATCTAGAGTATGTCTTTGAGTCCCGTTCGATCAACACACTGAAACACCTAAACTTTTGCTTGCTTGAATACAAGAAGATAAAAAATGCCTTCCTATCTTAATATTGATTTTTCCTCAGTCTTCAGATTATAACAATAAGGGCTCATCTGGATGAACATATCGATCTCTCAGAAACGTATTGTAACTTTGTTGATGCCAAGCTCGAGAGTGACAATTCTGAGCTTAGTGATAAGTAAGAATCTGCTGAAAATGTCACAGCTGATATGGAAGCTGTGGTAGCCAATGGGCACAGGTATTTATCATGACAGAAGTGAGATAACACACTGGCAATTGTAACCTGACAGTGTGTCCATAATTCTTAGTGGGACAAACATACACCATGAACACTGCCAGGCATCAAAGTCAAGATGTACATTGGCTGGCATGTCTGCCCTGATGTCAGGGTCAACCTGCCTCCATTTCTCATACACATAGACTACCCACTGCTGACATACAGAATACAACTCACACAGGTAGGTACAACTGTTTATTGTGTTGACTACCCACTGCTGACATACAGAATACAACTCACACAGGTAGGTACAACTGTTTATTGTGTTGACTACCCACTGCTGACATACAGAATACAACTCACACAGGTAGGTACAACTGTTTATTGTGTTGACTACCCACTGCTGACATACAGAATACAACTCACACAGGTAGGTACAACTGTTTATTGTGTTGACTACCCACTGCTGACATACAGAATACAACTCACACAGGTAGGTGAGGTGAGGTGAAATTGGGTTTAACGTCGTGCTTGAGAATATTTCGCTCATATGACGACGTGCATATGCATATATGTGTATGTGCGGCTGCTTGTACTAGCCCAGACTGAAGCTGGTTTTATAGTGCTAGCCCACTGACATACCATGCCGCAGTGAAGCATGAATACCCCACTTAGACACATTATACTGACTCCGAGCCGACCAGTCCTTGTTGTACCCATTAATGCCGAGCGCCAGGCAGAGACCAACAAGTACCATACTTTAACGTCTTTTGGTATGACGCGGCCGGGGATCGAACCAGTGACCTTCCGCTCTCCGGGCGGACGCTCTAAGCACTACACCACGGAGGTGGTCTCACACAGGTAGGTATGACTGTTTATTGTGTTGACTACCCACTGCTGTCATACAGAATACAACTCACACAGGTAGGTATGACTGTTTATTGTGCATTCACTTCTCACCTTGACCTTAGTAGTACCCACATTCCATACACTATTAGTTTGACAAACTTTAATGACTTCCATGATATGAAGTCAGTTTTCCATGCTCCATATCCACGTTTTGGATGTGTTAAAGGGCCACTACATCAACAGTTCTTGATTTATAAAACCATGCATAAAATAATTTCCAAGAGTGACATTACACCTTCTAATCAGAAAAGTAAGGTTGCATACACTAAAGTCAACAACCCAAGCTCTGGACTTGGCCATGGAAGCCAGTGTTTATCACAGCCAGGACTGATATATGCCTTCGTTATTTGAAGCCAATCCTGCTGCAGAACACTCTCCAACCTAGAGTTCCTTGAAGCTGGCCCATAGGTTTCTGATCAATAGAGCAGAAACTTCTTTCAGGGAATATGTTGAGCAGCGACAAGAAGCAAAGGGTTTATCAGCTATTATTTGCAAACAATACTGAAGTACAAGTGATGTAATGGTCCTTTAACATAGTACAACATGAGAAACAATCAATGGCTGATCATTGTTTATTTTCCTTTTCATGGATAAAACACCAGAAATATACCTTTCCATAAACCTAAATATGTAAATTATATGGATGTCTTTGAAAAACCTGAAACAATTTTCTAATTTCCAAGACTATTCCCTGCCTGATAACTCAAACCGAAATGCCATGACTTTTCTGGGGTCTTTTTTCTACGGACCCTGCAAATCAGTACTCAAATCCATTAGAGGGTGATGTGTTGTTGCCATAGAACACCCAGTACATCGTTGTCTGAACTGCATATACAGCTTGCTTTGTTTATGTTCAAAGCTGCATTCAGTAATATTCCATGTATGATGGCAACCTGCATGTAATCAAGTCTGGATACAGTGATTGATATTGAGAGTAATAATCCATGTATTTGGTTACAATGTCACACATCCAACCATCACCCAGACTGACTGTCGTGTAAGTTGACTCATGACTGGCAAGGGTTGCTTGGGTCCCTGTGGGGAACAATATGCTTTAAAGTAGATTGACTGCTATCCTAGTTGGGGCCAATCCTGTTTCCAATCATCGCATTCTATGTTTACTGAAAAGGTAAACAGTCTAAGAAACCAAGTCATTTAAGCTTGACTTGTTGCTATATCCACATGGTGGTCACATGTCCCCCCACCCCTGTGTCAGTCCCTCACTCACTCTGTGCATCTGTCCGGGTAAATATACACACATCTATCCAAGTAGATGGAGGAATCATTGAAAGGTGCTGAATAGGCCTCTCTTCCTTTAGAAGTTGTATCATCACTGCACATGATCCACTTCTCCCATAAAACCTCAATGTCATGCTGTTCACACTGTCCTTGTCCAAAACATCCAATGTCAACAATGGCCTGATGGTCTTTCAAAGAAAGCGACAACTACTTGTCCACTGCCAGTATGCGTCAACAATGGCCTGTTGCTGTTGCCATCAAGCCAGCCATGTGAAGGATAAGGTACAAAGCCTCACTTCTGAGTTTACAGCATGTCCATTATGTTACACAAAAACAGAAGACAATACAAACGCAACCCACGCATAAAATCTCATTTGAAAGAGAAAGTGTGAATTTGCTTCAAAAGAAAAAATCCTCTGCCCCATCACCAGTAACATGACTCAGTAATTCTTAGTAATTTATGCAATGATGCACATGTTCAACATTTCGTTCTGGACTGTGTGGATAATGTTAAACTAAAGTCGATACCTTGATATACCCAATGAAAAGGAGTAGGGGTACTCCACATACAGTACAGCTGGGAAAGATATTCTGATATTCAGATGATTTCATTTTTCTCTACATTAGAAGAAGTCTATAAAAAATTATACACAAATTTACCAAAAAAAATGCTCGGATGGAAAAAAGGTTCTGAAACTCCAAGTCCAATCACATAATCGTTTGGTAGAAAGAGAGACATAATGCTCTTTGATGTTGTTCAATAATTACAAATAGTGAACTGTACAGATGGAATGGCTTACACCATCTCCAAAACAATATCAATGTGTCATGTTGTCTCTTGTTCCTGCCGAGTCAAGATTTTGGTCATTAGGCCTCTGCCATGACAACTGACAAGGGAGACAACTCTCACTGACAATCATATCACACAATCCATGTCCATCACCACAGAACACATTATCATGACTGGTTGCCAACTTGTTTCCCTTCAATGACTGCTTTTATTTGGTCTTTGTCCAGAGTTTCTAATTTTATCAAAGCTTGTGCCAGGGCCTTATGCTCTGCTTGGTGTTTGTGTAGAAGCAGTTTAGCTCGGTCATACGACTCCTGCAAGTGAAGTAGTAACAGTCATCATGTAATATGTATCTAGAGGGTCAAAATAATCATGATGACATTCATATGATCTGATCGATATTTACTGAAGTGTACAATAACACAACTACAACATTATCGGTTATCTAAAACTGATCTGTAAACTTTCAAATGATTATGTGGTGCTTCATCTGGGTTATGTTTTTCCATCGGTTGATTCAAAGAGAAGTAGCAGTTGTGAATGATTGATAAACCTGGATTAGTGGATTGTATAATTGATTGACTGATTTGTAGTAGTGAGTGAGTTGGGTTTATGCCGCTTTTAGCAATATTCCAGCAATATCATGGCGGGGGACACCAGAAATGGGCTTTACACAAAGTACCCATGTGGGGAATCCAACCCGGGTCTTCGGCGTGATGAGCGAACGCTTTAACCACTAGGCTACCCCACCGCCCCTGACTTGAAGTAGTGGAGCAAATGATTGACTTATGTACCTGTAGTAGTGGAGTGTATGATTAATGAACATACCTGTAGTAGTCTCTTAATTTCCCCATCAATTTGCTCCTGTATAGCGGGACTCAGGTTGTTCATCTTTGACACTCCATCAGTTACCACGTTGTTGTCCTTAAACACTCGGGTGCCAACCTGTCACAGATGAAACAGAAGTCCATGGCCTATCCATCAAACTAAACATGGATGGACAATACTCAAACAACAACAGCACCCCCTCCTTGAGTTGGTCAGTACTGAAATAGCGAGCCGATACGGTTTTATGCTGTCTAAATCAATATTCCAGTAATACTGTAAACGTAGTATATTTCGCTCAGGTTTTATTTTCTCGCTTTTCGCGCAAAACATTTTAGCGCGAAAATTTATACACCGCGAATAAACCTGTCATTCATTCAGTCTAGCCACGTTCGCCCCTGAGTTGTTTCCATAACACATCACTGACTGAGTTTTAGTTTTTTACGACGCTTTTAGCAATATTCCAGCAATATCACGGCGGGGGACACCAGAAATGGGCTTAACACATTGTGCCCATGTGCCATAACACATCAAGTTTGAAGACAGAAATCTACGGGAATCTTAAAATGACGACTGATAGAAGCATAAAGAATCAAACTTAACAAAGAATCAAACTTAACTGTCACTGTAATGGATTTCCCAAAACATAATTAAATAATGAGCCAAATCCCATCGACGAATTAGCGAAAACAGCAATGTGTGTTGTGGCCGCCATGGAAATTGGTCACATGACAGATGGTTTGATACAAAACAGATAACCACGAAACGACTCGGAAAGAAATAATACAACAGTATTTTATTTGTTCATTTAGATACAAACGTATCATCATGAAGCGAATAGTCACTAACACTCAATCACCTCATTCACAACAACCCGGCTTGTTTGAAATCACAAAGAGCTTCATATACAGGATAAGTTAATTAGTCAGATCGTCAGAATTCGGAACATAATACTGATGTGTTTTTCATCTCTTCCGGGAGTAAACGGGTTACTGTGTACTAGTATATCGCACAGATAGGGATTTCCTGTGAGTAAGTAATAAATGCCGACTGACAGGTTCGGCCACTCTGTTTGTTTTTACTGCTATTAGTGGCGGCCAAAGAGACGGCTGGCAGTTCCGGCAATTACTGATTGCGCGAATAATTGACCGCGCGATGTAGTCTAAACTGTCAATTCCGCGAAAATAAGTACGTTTACAGTATCACTGCAGGGACAACTGGAATGGGATTCACACATTGTACAAAGGAGGAAAATTGAAGCAAGGTTTTCAGCATAAGCAGCTAACCACATGGCTACCCAAAGGCTCTTCATCTGAAATAACTTCTAACAGACCTTGACAAACAATACTTCCAGATTGACACAATAAATACAATTGCAAATGGGACCCATGTTCCGCTTTCACATGCTATTTATCTGGTGAAGACCTACTAGACAAACTGTCCAGCCCTGCCAAGTGACATGACGTAAGTAGTCACACTACCTTGGCCTGTCTACATTAGGTCGGTCTACAATGTGTTAGTGCTAATGTCAAAGGGACACAACTCCAACACATCGAGCCACAGGGCCACCTGTTTCCCAACAGTTAAAATGATTACAGCACCAACTACCTAAACAAGGGAGATAATTCAGTGTGTATAATTTCTTACGACAATGAATGCAACATTTCGGTACAGATCAAATTAAAATGCTTTACATCAATAGAACTATATCCCTTCTTCACCATAACATCTTATGCCTATCACAGACAGAAATAAAGAAATAAACTACATACTATCATCACTTGAGAAGAGACTATTACGTTGTCCCTGAACTATGGAGCATCATTACTGAAATATTTCATGTGATTCTAGACGAGTAGAGAACTACATGTGGTTACCTTTTCTGACATTCCATATTCCTTGACCATTGCACTTGCTATTGTTGTGGCTTGTGAGAAGTCATCCTTGGCACCTATGTAATGAATCATCTGATTAATCTCAAAGACGTCAAACCAAAATCATTCAATATCATACACATCTACATGATCTGAATTTGATAAATCCCTGTAATGAACAAGATATATGATGATGCCATAAAAATATCTGCCAACTGTGCCATAACTGTGCCATAAAACTACATACATTCCATACCCGATGGAGTTTACAAACATTGTGTACCTGTTTCCACTTTATCCATGCCATAGATCACCTCCTCCGCAGCCCGACCTCCCATAGAGACATCCATCCGAGCCAGCAGCTGGGCCCGGGACATGTTGAACAGCTCCTTCTCGTACGACATCGCCGTCTGCAAACATTATCACTACACTGAGGACAATACACCTATATGTGTAATGTGTGAGTTAGGGGTAAATACAACTTCTAACAGTATTCCACCTATGTTTTCCACACTTGGGTGAGACATCTGCAATGATTCCATCAAAATGCTTGGTACATCATTTACATTTGTAACCATTGCAATCAAATGACATCACTAATCTTTCAGTCACTATAGCCGTATTTTTACACTAAGGAAATTCAGTCATTACAAGTTACAAATGAAAAAGTTGTAAGAGTGGTTTGGGATGACAATCAGAATCACTGTCATGTGTTGTTATTTCATATACATTAACACTTGTAGATTAATACATTAAAAACTCTTCAGCACACAGTATCTTGATGTACTGGATATCAAAACATACACCAGTGAGATTCTCTGTAAATCACCACTAAAAGACCAAGACTAGCTGTTTCTAATGTAGGAGGACAGTCAATCAGACAAAACTTCTCAACGTTTATGGCTTTGATTGTCATCACCTTGTGCTGAAAGACCTATAACTGAATTCAATAATTGGGGAGCCTGGACACCGCTGGACACTACGGCACATGATAGGACACCACATGAAGAATGACTCATCATCTCTTGTAGACAGCACTGCATGTATTTAACACAACCAAAAGGAGCCAAAATTGAAGGAAAGAAGACTCACATGTCCTAGAGAACTTCCTCGGGGGAGGATTGTGACTTTGTTCGGGATAGGTGCATCCTTGGTGAAGTGAGCAACCAGCGTGTGCCCGGCCTCATGGAACGCTGTCTTCCACTTGGCAGTATCATCCTGAACCAGAGATTTCTTAGCAGGACCTGTGAGAACAACACATCTACATACAAACATCTAGAGGTATGTACTGTCAGCAGGACCTGTGAGAACAACGCATCTACATACAAACATCTAGAGGTATGTACTGTCAGCAGGACCTGTGAGAACAACGCATCTACATACAAACATCTAGAGGTATGTACTGTCAGCAGGACCTGTGAGAACAACGCATCTACATACAAACATCTAGAGGTATGTACTGTCAGCAGGACCTGTGAGAACAACGCATCTACATACAAACATCTAGAGGTATGTACTGTCAGCAGGACCTGTGAGAACAACGCATCTACATACAAACATCTAGAGGTATGTACTGTCAGCAGGACCTGTGAGAACAACGATCTACATACAAACATCTAGAGGTATGTACTGTCAGCAGGACCTGTGAGAACAACGATCTACATACAAACATCTAGAGGTATGTACTGTCAGCAGGACCTGTGAGAACAAGCATCTACATACAAACATCTAGAGGTATGTACTGTCAGCAGGACCTGTGAGAACAACGCATCTACATACAAACATCTAGAGGTATGTACTGTCAGCAGGACCTGTGAGAACAACGCATCTACATACAAACATCTAGAGGTATGTACTGTCAGCAGGACCTGTGAGAACAACGCATCTACATACAAACATCTAGAGGTATGTACTGTCAGCAGGACCTGTGAGAACAACGATCTACATACAAACATCTAGAGGTATGTACTGTCAGCAGGACCTGTGAGAACAACGATCTACATACAAACATCTAGAGGTATGTACTGTCAGCAGGAGGAACAACGGGATCTGTGAGGTACACTGTCAGCAGGACCTGTACAACGATCTACACAAACATCTAGAGGTATGTACTGTCAGCAGGACCTGTGAGAACAACGCATCTACATACAAACATCTAGAGGTATGTACTGTCAGCAGGACCTGTGAGAACAACGCATCTACATACAAACATCTAGAGGTATGTACTGTCAGCAGGACCTGTGAGAACAACGCATCTACATACAAACATCTAGAGGTATGTACTGTCAGCAGGACCTGTGAGAACAACGATCTACATACAAACATCTAGAGGTATGTACTGTCAGCAGGACCTGTGAGAACAAGCATCTACATACAAACATCTAGAGGTATGTACTGTCAGCAGGACCTGTGAGGAACAAGCGCATCTACATACAAACATCTAGAGGTATGTACTGTCAGCAGGACCTGTGAGAACAACGCGATCTACATACAAACATCTAGAGGTATGTACTGTCAGCAGGACCTGTGAGAACAACGATCTACATACAAACATCTAGAGGTATGTACTGTCAGCAGGACCTGTGAGAACAACGCATCTACATACAAACATCTAGAGGTATGTACTGTCAGCAGGACCTGTGAGAACAACGCGATCTACATACAAACATCTAGAGGTATGTACTGTCAGCAGGACCTGTGAGAACAACGATCTACATACAAACATCTAGAGGTATGTACTGTCAGCAGGACCTGTGAGAACAACGCGATCTACATACAAACATCTAGAGGTATGTACTGTCAGCAGGACCTGTGAGAACAACGATCTACATACAAACATCTAGAGGTATGTACTGTCAGCAGGACCTGTGAGAACAACGCATCTACATACAAACATCTAGAGGTATGTACTGTCAGCAGGACCTGAGAACAACGCATCTACATACAAACATCTAGAGGTATGTACTGTCAGCAGGACCTGTGAGAACAACGCATCTACATACAAACATCTAGAGGTATGTACTGTCAGCAGGACCTGTGAGAACAACGCATCTACATACAAACATCTAGAGGTATGTACTGTCAGCAGGACCTGTGAGAACAACGCATCTACATACAAACATCTAGAGGTATGTACTGTCAGCAGGACCTGTGAGAACAACGCATCTACATACAAACATCTAGAGGTATGTACTGTCAGCAGGACCTGTGAGAACAACGCATCTACATACAAACATCTAGAGGTATGTACTGTCAGCAGGACCTGTGAGAACAACGCATCTACATACAAAACATCTAGAGGTATGTACTGTCAGCAGGACCTGTGAGAACAACGCATCTACATACAAACATCTAGAGGTATGTACTGTTAGCAGGACCTGTGAGAACAACGCATCTACATACAAACATCTAGAGGTATGTACTGTCAGCAGGACCTGTGAGAACAACGCATCTACATACAAACATCTAGAGGTATGTACTGTCAGCAGGACCTGTGAGAACAACGCATCTACATACAAACATCTAGAGGTATGTACCGTCAGCAGGACCTGTGAGAGAACAGCGATCTACATACAAACATCTAGAGGTATGTACTGTCAGCAGGACCTGTGAGAACAACGCATCTACATACAAACATCTAGAGGTATGTACTGTTAGCAGGACCTGTGAGAACAACGCATCTACATACAAACATCTAGAGGTATGTACTGTCAGCAGGACCTGTGAGAACAACGCATCTACATACAAACATCTAGAGGTATGTACTGTCAGCATGATGAGCATTAAACTGGGACACTCATACCCAGCATGTCTTCTGTTACTGGATGCACATCATCTTTACAGTTCATCCTTTGGTACAGCCATGAGTAACGAACCCTGAACATGTATACTTATTTATTGGCAGCATCATAAACATGTATACCAGGGTGCATTCTTAACAGGTCCTTTTAAACCAAGGATTTTGAATTTGGTAGTGAGTTTGTTGGGTTTAACATTGCTAATACAAAAGTATTCGAGTTGTGTCGTGCATCAGGAAAGTGAAGTTGCAAGTGATGTCGGTGTCAGTCAAGTCAGGGTATGGTGCTAATCATATCAAACCAGGATTCCACCCTACAGTCATGGGTTTTGGCATGCCAGTGGGCCACAACAGCCAAATGCCTTAGAACACTGGGACGCACACAGGCCCCTTACATCTGAGTCTTCTCATCACATGCTTTGAAGCATTGATTCTTGTAAGGGACCATCAACAATTAACCAAAGAGAACCTCAACAAGAAATTGGTTATCGTTATTTTCCTGATTCAGCTGAAGTGTAGAGTGCCACTGCAGACATACCCATGACAACCTTGTCCCTGGCGTAGTCCATGTGGTCCATGTTGATGGCGACAGCACCCTCCCGTGCTGCCTGCAGGGCTGCCTGGTTCACCATGTTCTGGAGATCTGCTCCCGTGAACCCCACAGTCTTCTGGGCCAGCAGGTCAAAGTCCATCTCTGCAACACATCATATGACAGCTGATATCAAACATGGAGAAGTGACTATTGTTAACTCAGGTATGTTCCAGTTACAGGGCAGCTTCCATAACAGGATCACGACTAAAGTGAGACTGTGATATGTTCTTAACCCAATGTTTAAAAGTATTACATCACAGTGTGTTAGATGTGGGACTAGAGCCTACGTGATACACTGACTGACTGACTGAGTTTGGTTTTACACCGCTTTTAGCAATATTCCAGCAACATCACGGCGGGGGACACCAGAAATGGGATTCACACATTGTACCCATGTGGGGATTCGAACCCGGGTCTTTGGCGTGACGAGCCAACGCTTTAACCACTAGGCTACCCCACCGCCCCCTACGTGATACAAGTCTCAGAAGTCTACCACTTTGATCAAACCCATGTACTCAGCTGACACAGCTATAAGACACAGTCGGGGCAAACCATGATTCAAACCAACAGTTTCTGGCAAGCCCAAGGGATGGAAATTGCAGAACCTTTGATGACTGGGCCGCTTGGATTAGACAAACCAGTGGTTGATATTATGAACACTGTCAGGGCATTCATTACAGAGCCTCACTGTCCGATCTATTTCGGCAACCTCTGACATGGGATCACTCTGCATTATGACACAACATCTCAGACAAGTCTTTATTAAGTGTGCACAATCCTGTGCTGGTAACTGCTGATTTTGACATTATGCTTCTATGCAAGTATCAGTAACAAAAAGAAAACCCCTAGTTTTGTTGCTGTTTAATCAAGGAATCTCAAACATGTACATCTTAAACATGTATTTTGACAATGAGGCATGGACTTCTTACTCAGTTTTTGAAGCACTGCAGATATTACTTCATTTGAATGTCTCAGATTTGTATCACAAAACAGCATAAAACATATAGAGTGAGTGAACGTATATGGTTCAGGCTGATTGTAACAATAGCCAGTGAGTGTGTGACAGCAGAAACGTACACATTGTACTGACATGTCTGCGGTCTGAACCACAAAGCGTTATCCTACGATAGCGTCATATAGTTAAGATAGTGTGTAACGCTACTAACGCTTTGTGGACTGGGACCGTCGACTAGGATGAGTGAAGGTATGGCCGCCCCATCACCCGTGAACAATTATACAAGCAACAACATGACCTACTGGAATCGGCCTTGACCTTGCCGATGTAGTACTCCAGGATCTCCTTTCTGCCCTTCAGACTTGGAGGGTACACAGTCACCTCCACATCAAAGCGACCAGGACGCAGCAGAGCACTGCAAAACGGCAACAAATTATTCCCAGTTTGAATGAGACAAATGTCTCTATTTGCATTTAACTGTCAGACATCCTGCTTTCATGGTGTCATGTTATTTCGGTTACTAGAGAGCAGAAGCAAAGAGAATCAGACAAACATACCTGTCAAGGTTATTTCTCCTGTTAGTTGCTCCAAGTACAATAACACCTTCATTCTGGTTAAATCTGAAAGGAAAATACATACAAGAGCATAACAATCTTTTAGAATTGAAAATTTTAATATCAATTGTATATTTATATACTTATCCTATCTCACGACTTGCACCTCTCTCTCTCTCTCAGCTTCGTCTTTTTGTGGAACGACTAATGAAGCTTGCAGCATGCTCCACTAATTGCCCACGTGACTACCTCGGCTTGCAGCATGCTCCACTAATTGCCCACGTGACCAGCATGCTCCACCACTCGGCTTGCAGCATGCTCCACTAATTGCCCACGTGACTACCTCGGCTTGCAGCATGCTCCACTAATTGCCCACGTGACTACCTCGGCTTGCAGCATGCTCCACTAGTTGCCCACGTGACTACCTCGGCTTGCAGCATGCTCCACTAATTGCCCACGTGACTACCTCGGCTTGCAGCATGCTCCACTATTGCCCACGTGACTACCTCGGCTTGCAGCATGCTCCACTAATTGCCCACGTGACTACCTTGAATGATCATTCTCATCTTGGAGCCAACGTTGTAATCTGAGTAGAGGGGAGGCCGGGCGGGCATCCATCGCGTGAGATAGGATAAGTTTATAAATATACAATTTATATTAAAATTTTCAAATTTTTAAACTTATCCTATCTCACGACTTGCACTTATCCCACAGTGCAGATTATCCTTCTGTCTGGACAGTGCGAACAGCTGGTCTTGGAGCTGTGTGGACTGATGACAACTGTAGAAAGCGATGTACAAGGGAGGCCTGTTACGCATGCACGCAACTCATATGCTTGTAGTGGGTTCTCCGGAACCCCTTGGCTTTCTAAGCACAACGACTCACAGGGAGATGGGTGCTCCCAAGCGATGTGGTGTTCGGCCGCAACCTTGTACAAGACAAGGGACGCAACTTGGCAAGTAGGCCTAATCTCGCCACGATTTACAAGCGGAACCCGTAATTCAAGTCTTGCGACTAGAATCGGGCCAGCCCTTGCTTCGAGAAGGCCCCCCAGACACCGACCGAGGCGGGTGAAAGAGAAACACAACTCGGCATCTCCAAGGTTTAACGTTCAGTTCCGGGCAGCATCAAATTGGCCCCCACTCCTTTGCCTAAGCTTAGTCAAAGAATGTGCCCGACAACTTCGTGAGGCAGATCGCAACAAAATCCACTGGAATTCGGGAGTGTCACACTTCACTCTCGTAATTGCTCCGTGGAGTAGAGGATAGTAAGCGTGAATGTCGAACACCTCTGCATCGTCATACTAATTGTGCCTCAGGTCCGTAGGGCCATGCTAGGTGGCCGTATTCCGATGCCTTGGCATGGAGGCCAAGTGAAGTAGTTCTTAAACCCATATAATGAGAACAAAAGGTTGAGATCCAGTTCAACTTATATTCAGTATATACAAGGAAGCAGTAACGCAAACGCTGAACCATCCCTCATCTGTGTTGTTGGGCCTGCTGAGCCAGTACAAGAGGTCCGAACTGGTGTAGTCCCTGGACATCCATGACAGACAGGTCTCGCAGGTAATGTGAAGAGAAGACTGTATCAGAATGCCAGGAGGAACCACCACGATCAGATCTATTTCCTCTGCCACGGCCTTGAGTGGATGCGCTACGAAAAAGATTGCGTAAATCCGGATTGGTAGGGGTGAACTGTGCAGTTCGATGCTGTTTTAATGAGTCCTGGAGCTGTGACTTCTGTATCTTTAACAGTTCAATCGAGACTTGAAAGTGGGTTTCTTTATCAACTTTAGTAGATACTTCTTGGATGCTGCCATTGAAGAGGTAGTCAGTAAGCCATGGCTGGCGAAACAGTCCTGTTTTAAATTGTTCCTCCCATGAAGAGATGTTAAGGGGTCCACGTCAGCGAACAGCAAGAGTGTAGCCAAAAAAATGAGACAACTGATCCAGGATAATTTGGAACTGGTCCAGAGCTAAGGTCATGCATCCTCGGATGTAAGTGTCTTGATCAGTGTAAGTATGCTCCAGAGCAGAGTTGACAGTATCGACTACTGCAATCATGCAACTAATAGATGGCAATGTCTATCTCACGGCTGAATCAATGTAAGCCAACTCTCGGTCCTCAATAAGGTAGGGCGAAGCAGCTCGTTTGCCACACAGGGTTCCAATGTCCTCATCAACTGTTGGAGCTGTGGAGATTTTTGTTAGGCCGTGGACATGAGAGGTAGAAAGATTATATCTGGGAGCAGAGAATCCGTCCTTAATTCGTTTCAGGCTCTTGAAACCATCATTTAGTGTAATTTCAGAATACAAGGTCGAGGTGGTAGGGTGATGGTAGACCAATCCCAGTTCCTAAGAGTATAAGAGTGATCCAGGTCATCTGATGAAGTACTCAAGGGAAGTTTTAGCTTCTCAACAATCCAAACGAGTACCTGAGCTGTCTCAACTGCTGCAAAGCTACCCTCAGGGGTAGATAACTCAGAGTGAGCGGGAGATGCAGGCATGACTATTTGGATCAATCTCAGGAGGTGGACCAGATGAAGAGCCAGGTGCTACCGAAGCCAGATGGGCTGGAGTAGAAGGCTGTATTTGGTTCCAGGCTGAGGTTATGGCCCTGATCATCAAATTTAGATCCGAAGTCGCTGTAGGAGTGCAATTGTGATCAGGAACCATGACTTAGCGATGATTCTAGAGTGAGTCGAAGGATTCTCAGAGCGTGTAGGTGGAACATCGTAAGAGACTGTAGGCCTATTAGTGGTATCAGAATAATGATCACCCCAATGTCTGTCAGAGGAACTGTATCGAGATCTCGACGTGGTAAGTACCGAATATATTGGTAAGCTGGTGATATGGATTCCCTAGTATGGCTAGGTGATCCGGTATGATATGAAGAACTAGTCCGGGTCGCTGTAGCTCTGGTTCTGATTGGAGCTCTGGTTCGACCATCGGAATAGGATCGGCCATGAGATGTGGATCTGTACTGTGATCCCGATTGGTCAATGGCTCTGTAAGGTGATCTAAATCGTATAGGTGACCTGGGTCGGTAAGATGATCTGGATTTGTAAAGTGATCTGGATCGATTCGATGCACTAACTGGAAACTGTGATCGTGATCTAGATCTATAAGGTGATCTGGATGGAACAGGTGATCTGGTTTGCAGTTGCGATCTGGTTTGCAGTTGCGATCTGGCTTGATTTGGTGATCTGGATCGGTTAAGTGATCTAGATCAGGCTGGTGATTTGGTGATCTGGATCGGTTAAGTGATCTAGATCAGTCCGGTGATCTGATTCGAAGTTGTGATTTGGATCCATTCAGTGATCTGGATCGGTTAGGTGATCTGGATCGATCCAGTGATCTACTTCGATGTTGTGATCTGGATCCGTTTGGTGATTTGGATCGGTTAGGGGATCTGGATTGATCAGGTGATGTGGATCGTAGTTGTGCTCTGGATTGTGACTGTGATCTGGATCGATCCGGTGATCTTGATCGGGTTTGTGATGGTGATCTGGATCGTGAAGGTGATCTAGATCATTGTGGTGATCTAGAATGATGAGGTGATCTGGATCGGCAATTAGGTGACGAAACCCTAAGTGTTGATTCATGATGAACGCCCCCGGCGGCGCTACTGTAGCCAGCTCCGTCCGGTTCAATGAACTGTGGGGGGGACAGTTGGCTGGTTGAACGCGGTTGGCCAGGCTCCAAACAAACTGAGACAGTCAAGAGGATTACCAATGATCTGGAAGATGATAGTGTTGATCTAAGGTCCCCTGGTAGTGTAGATGGAACAGGCAACGATGGATATCGATCACAACCACCCGCGAGTGATCTGACGCTATGGAAGGAGGTGATTGATGCGCACATAATAGGTGCCGAACGTCCTCAGATAAGTAAGAAGCTGATGAAGCGTCCATAAAATTCTCTTGAACCACAGACGTCGCTCTCTTGCGTAAGGTACGATTTTCTGCTGCTGTAACTTGAAAGGCTTGGCGGAAGTGGGATCAGATTCTGTTGATTTCCTGTCCTATCGGCGATTCTCCGGGAGCAAACACGAAGGTAGGCCTTAAAATCCTCATCTTTTAGTGAATTACACTTGCCACATCGTTTGTTTCAGTTACTTTGTCCAATACAGTCACTGCAAGACGAGTGAGGGTTGAGGGACGAATAATTCGTCTTGCATTGAGCACAAACTTTCCTTTTCCTTGACTGATTATCTGTTTTCCCCATGATGTTACGGTGAAATAATGTCCCTAATATACAGCACGTCCACACAGTCGTGCAACAAGAAAGAGAATGATCATTCAAGCTAGTCACGTGGGCAATTAGTGGAGCATGCTGCAAGCTTCATTAGGAACTAGGAAGCTAATTAAGGAGAGCAGCATGGAGTGCACGGGCGAATGGACAAGGAGGCCTATGGAAAAAAGTTTACAGTCGTTCCACAAAAAGACGAAGCGTGAGAGAGAGAGATGCAAGTCGTGAGATAGGATAAGTTTAAAAATTCATATTTATCTAAGTACTAAACTCAGCCTTTATCATACTTATCATTCAGGGGAATATATTTCCTATTACATGCCAATACCTTTTTGTTGATCAGATGATATGATTTCCAATTTCAAGTTTTAAGAGAATCAACTGATGTTAATGATTCATGGTGCTTTGACAATGTTCATGTTAACATAATTGAAAGGTAGATGGGCACCGAGCAGACTGATCACGGCCACGCCACAAGTGTGAACCTTTTCCTTACCCATCCATCTCCGCCAGCAGCTGGTTGATGGTCTGGTTGGCGTACGGGTGAATCTGGGAGTTGGTGCGACTGGCTCCAACAGAATCTATTTCATCCAGGAATATCACACATGGAGCCCTCATTTTGGCTGCAGCTGCAGAAACAACATGTACTTAAGGGGACAGACAGAATGGAAGGCATTACTTTTGTACATGGTACTCAGAAAGGGCATCAATCTGATCATATATCACACAAAACATCTCACTCGGTAAAGAACGGGACATTCTTCTTCATATTACTATATGTTCCCTTCTCCACATAAAGATACATTTGTCGAGCTTCAGTTTAGAATGAACGCAGCCTGATAGGTGCAAGATACCAGTACCAGCTTGCACTGACATAACAAAAGAATGTTGTTAAACATTTCGTATGAAACAGAAAGTGCTTAAATGTTCAGTCGTTATGTTTTTTATGTAGGGTTATGTATTAGCAGTAGGGTCAAGTGTTGATAGTAGGGTCATGTATTGACAGTAGTCACGTATTGATAGTAGGATCATGTATTGATAGTAGGGTCATGTATTGATACTAGGATCAAGTATTGACAGTAGGATCAAGTATTAACAGTAGGGTCAAGTATTGCTAGTAGGGTCAAGTATTGATAGTAAGGTCATGTATTGATAGTAGGGTCAATTATTGATAGTAGGGTCAAGTATTGATAGTAGGGTCAAGTATTGATAGTTAGGTCAAGTATTGACAGTAGGATCAAGTATTGATAGTAGGGTCAAGTATTGATAGTAGGATCAAGTATTGATAGTAGGGTCAAGTATTGATAGTAGGGTCAAGTATTGATAGTAGGGTCAAGTATTGACAGTAGGATCATGTATTGATAGTAGGGTCATGTATTGATAGTAGGGTCAAGTATTGATAGTAGGGTCAAGTATTGATAGTATTGATAGTAGGGTCAGTATTGACAGTAGGGTCATGTATTGATAGTAGGGTCAAGTATTGATAGTAGGGTCAAGTATTGATAGTAGGGTCAAGTATTGACAGTAGGATCAAGTATTGACAGTAGGGTCAATTATTGATAGTATTGTCAATTATTGATAGTAGGGTCAAACATTGACAGTAGGGTCAAGTATTGATAGTACTGTCAATTATTGACAGAAGGGTCAATTATTGACAATATTGATAGTAAGGTCATGTATTGACAGTAGGGTCAAGTATTGATAGTAGGGCCATGTATTGATAGTAGGGTCAAGTATTGACAGTAGGGTCTAATATCAGCAGTAGGGTCAAGTATTGATAGTAGGGTCAAGTATCTGCATTATTGCCCAGGTTTGGTTCTGTGGTCTTTTTCTTAACATGGATCAAGTACATGTTCATTGTTTTACCATACACTTAGCTTCCTACTTGACAAAGCAATAGCAATATGAAAAATCTACAGTCAAGCTGTTCATCAACAGACATGAACATCCTCCACTTACAGAACAGCTGTCGGATTCTCTTCGCTCCAGTCCCAACAAATATCTCATCAAACTCAGAGCCAGAAGCATGGTAGAATGGCACGCCGGCTTCACCTTTACACACAAATATACATTTATTAACTATAGGAAATATCTTTAGCTGGCACATATAAATTAGTGATCAGTTATCAAGAAGGAACCTAGGTTTCTTGAAGTTTGCACCTGTTGTGGTAAATATAATCACAATCTATCATACTATAATGATTAACCTGATAAAATGACTCCATCATTAAAGACACAAAAACTTGGTCTCAGATACAAACAAGTTTCTTGATCAACATGATGCTCAGTAATATTCCAGCCATATGACGACGGTCTGTAAATACTCTGACAGGCAATCAAACAGGTCACAGTCTTAGAATGCCTTGTTATGCCAGTGGTCAAAAGAGAGAGTGTTGAAATGGGGCTTAACGTCATACTTAAGAATATTTTGCTGATATGGACGTGTATGCGAGTGTAGTGTATGTGTGGCTGCTTGTACTAACCCAGACATAAGCTGGTTTTATAGTGCTAGCTCACTGAGATACCATGCCGCAATTAAGCATGAATACCCCACTCAGACACATTATACTGACTCCAAGCCAACCAGTCCTTGCTGTACCCATTAATGCCGAGCGCCAGGCAGGGACCAACAAGTACCGATATTATAACATCTTTTGGCATGACGCGGCCAGGGATCGAACCCGCAACCTTACGTTCTCCGGGCAGATGCTCTAACCACTACACCACAGAGGCGGTCCAGTCAAAAGAGGGATGAAATGAAGTAAAACTAAACCAAACTGACCTGCCACAGCTCTGGCCAGCAATGTCTTGCCGATGCCGGGTTGTCCCACCAACAGAACACCTGTAACATGACAACACCAGCATAGGTAACCTCCGGTAACATAGCATCATGACTATCACTGGGGTAATATGTCCATTGTGTGCTAGTCAAAGGAGAAACTAGTGATAACTTGTCGCACAAGCCCAAGTGTTCCCCCAAATGAGTAGTCCCAGCTTTCATAAAATACTTGAAAAAAGGAGTAGAAATAACAGAATACCAACCAGAACTTTCAGTTTGTACACAACATTTCAGTATACATATTTCTGGGTTATCTGACATTAAACTGTACAAAACAGAGTGAGTGAGTATGCTTTTAGCACTATTCCAGCAATATCACCGAGGGAGACACCATAAATGGGTTTCACTTATTGTACCCATGTGGGGAATCGAACGATCCAACGCTTTAACCACTAGGCTTCCCCACTGCCCAAACTAAACAGAATGACTAAACCAACCTTTGGGTAACTTAGCTCCCAGTGACTGGTACTTCTCCGGGTCCTTCAGATAATCCACCACGTCCATCAGCTCTGTCTTAGCCTCATCGGCCTGCAGCATATACAATTTCCACACACTCACATGGATAACAACACACTTCTATACTTTAGTAGGTCCGTGAAACACATCATGTTCTCAATGGCTCTGATCACTCTATGACTTCTGAATTCTCACAGTGTCAGCTTCTCAATGGATTTCCCCAGATCACCAGGACATATGAGCAGAAGATTTTGGTTTCATGCGTTATATTGGCATACAGAGACACCAGCTACATATGGACATGTAATGCAACATCAGTACGTCAGTGTGGTGGTGACAGTGCTCTGTCATGAGAATTACAATCTCTGACCATGATTATATTAGTTCTCTCAGGGTGCATATATACCACTTGAACTGGCACAGGACGATTCTCATGAACCTAGGACAAGTTAAATGTATACGAACTGACTCACCCCTTTCACATCGTCAAATGTGACATTGACCTCCTCTGGGTTGACCTCAAACTGATCCTTTGTCAAAACGCCGAGCCCACGCACTCCAGCTGATCGACCAAAACACGAAACACACAAAATTATTGACACAAAGCATATCAGTAAACATATCAAAAACATATAAAAAATAATCTAAAATGGGGGTTAACATTGTGTTTATATATTTAGCTATGTGAACATGTAAGTAACAGTTAACACTACCAGGCAGAGACAGATATGAACTAATGGGGGTTAACATTGTGTTTACATATATAGCTATGTGAACATGTAAGTAACAGTTAACACTACCAGGCAGAGACAGATATGAACTAAGCATGTCTACTAGCTAGAAAAGGAACGGCATATAACAATAGGTCCCAAAATGCTTGAAACTAGGATATCTTTAATAGTCATTAATATGCAGTACAAATGGTCTGGGCTGGCTTAAATACCCCCCAACCCTGCATCACCCTGCCATGTGTATACTACTTGGTATAAACCCCCACACAAGTCTGACTTTAACATTAAAAGCATCCTGAGGACCAGTAGAGATTCAGGTGTGTCTTTACATTGTCTCCCAGTCAGGTCAGTGACTGAGTCAGGGTAACTTGCATCCTGATCAACCTGAACATACCAGGGACAATGCAAATTAATTCAGCATCAACGTTACTATCCAATAAGGTTAGAATTGTCTTAGTGGGTAAAGGATTAGGGTATATATATATATACTGTTAGACCCTGAAACTTATTCTACAACTAGTCTCCTGTTGTACAACTCTCAGGAAAGTGTGAAGACACTCACTTCCTCCCACGGCAGTGAAGACCTGTACGACTTGCACTAGCAGCCACAGCATACACATGTAGAAGAGGAAACGCAGTGTTCGATTTAGCATTGAGTTCTTGGTGTCAGGTGATTCTTGCTTAGAGTTGGCATGGTAGCCTTCAGCAAAAGCCACTTTGAGTCTGTCCTGAAACTCGGGATTACTCTCATGGGCTTTGACTATATTCTGGAACTTCCCCATCTCCTTCTTGTATGCATCAGGGAACAGCTTTGATTGTACCTGAGTTGGAACAAACAGTCAGAAAAGCTTTGATAGGATTTTGGTTTGTTGTTTAACGCTTCACTCAGCAATATTCCAGCTATATGGCGGCATGTAAATAATCGAGTCTGAACCAGACAATCCAATGATCAACAGCATGAGCATCGATCAATGCAACTGGGATACGATGACATGTGTCAACCAAGTCAGCAAGCCTGACCACCCGATCCCATTAGTCGCCTCTTACAACAAGCATGGGTTACTGATGAACAACTCTAACCCGGACCTTCACGGGTTTCTTTGAATGGAAAGTTTAGCATCAACATATACAATATAAAACCCCTCATCAAACCACAAGTGATGATTACTTGATATCAAAATACAGTATCAAATAAGTATCACGAAATGGCCACATTCTTATTTTACTGTGGGGGATACTATGCTGAGCATTCAGACACACACGATATATTTTAGCACTGGATAAGTAGCTAGCTATATAAATTATTGTAATATTTATGAATCCATGATACAGAAAACACTAACATATTTTGTTGAGGTAGCATACCCAGAACAACTTCTTTGAGAGGCATTTAGAAGTTAGAGCAGTAAGGAAGGATAACAATATATGGATAAACAACTTGTTTATTTCTGTGAGAGCTCTCACAGCAATAAAGAAGTTGTTCATCCATATATTATCATTCCATGCCCAGAACAGTTATAAATATTTGAGAGTCTAAGGAAATGATAGTTTGAGCAGGTTACCAGAGACACAGGTATATTTTAGTCTGATGACTTTTCGACATTCAGAGTTTTGTAAGTCTGTTTTCAGATAGGCATTCTACAAAGTATGTGTGTGATGACAAAGACCCATAATTGGTGAAAGATTAAGATGAGTTGCCTACTGAATGTCGAAGTTCATCCAGGAAAGACATTTTCTTGTCTCTCCCTAGCCCCGACCCAGACTGTGACCGCTTTGTCTTGAAACCTCTGGTCTGTTGCACACCTGCAATACAAGTAGGTAGTCGTGACATTTACCATGGACACATACCAGTGTACACATCAAGAGCGTAGCAATGCAACAATACTTAAATGTAACATATCAACAGATTTGCAAAGAAAACAAGTACCAATAATTATGAGATTAAAAGCTTTGTGTTAGATGATGAACTTCAGAAAAGATGCTTGTAAGTGATGGGTTGTTTCACTAGAACCCTGGTCAGCAGAGTGTATTGCAAATGCAAGAAATCTGAAATACTTAGTGACAGAAAATGAGACAAAGAGCTCACAAAGGTATATGTCAAGAACTCACATGGTGTGAAAGCTCCTCCTAGGAAGCTCTGGAAACCCTTGTCTCCCATAATCTGAAGAAATGTTGGTACAGTCGACTGCAAATGACCTTCTGGGAACCCTTGGAAACAAAGAAAAAAGCACATAGAGATTAACAACTTTATGGAGATTGGAGATTAACAACCACATAGAGATTAATCTAGTGGAGATTAACACCAACATAGATATATACAACCAGACAGTGGTTAACAACTACAAGGAGAATAACAACCAGACAGTGGTTAACAACTACAAGGAGAATAACAACCAGCCAGTGGTTAACAACTACAAGGAGAATAACAACCAGACAGCGGTTAACAACTACAAGGAGAATAACAACCAGACAGTTAACAACTACAAGGGTTAACAACTACAAGGAGAATAACAACCAGACAGTGGTTAACAACTACAAGGAGAATAACAACCAGACAGTGGTTAACAACTACAAGGAGAATAACAACCAGACAGTGGTTAACAACTACAAGGAGAATAACAACCAGACAGTGGTTAACAACTACAAGGAGAATAACAACCAGACAGTGGTTAACAACTACAAGGAGAATAACAACCAGACAGTGGTTAACAACTACATGGAGAATAACAACCAGACAGTGGTTGACAATTACCATAGGATTAACAACCACATAGAGATTAACAAACAGCCATTAAACAACCTTACATATGTTTCTGTCAAGAATGTTTGACCATAGTAACTTACATCAAATTTTCAAACAAACCACTTTACAAGTCTTCAATCTGTTTTTGAGACATTGACATAGCTTCTGTCTGACAATCTCATCAGTTTCTTACAATATTATTCATGATCAAACTACTTATAGATTTGACATGTAACAATTACACAATAGTAACCTGTTTTATTTTCGAAGAATGTCTGGGCTGACACATGAGATTCCTGCCAGTGGCTGTGGGAAGCATCCTGCTGCTTGACGATAGCCAGGAGTGGACTGAGGACGCCACTGTCCACATCACGAGGCAGGTCAGTCAGGTCTACTGTACTGGGCACACCCTTCACCTGAAACAATTGGTCAGGTTGGTTGGTTATTGTTTAACGCCACACTCACTATTATTCCAGCTATATGGCGGTGGTCTGTAAATAATCATGTCTGGACCAGACAATCCAGTGATCAACAGCATGAGCATCGATCTGCGCAATTGGGATACGATGACATGTGTCAACCAAGTTGACGAGCCTGACCACCCGATCACGTTAGTCACCTCTTATGACAAGGCCAAACAAAAAAATGTTGTGGTTCCGACTACACCTATTTAAAATTTAGGGTAGGTAGGTAGGCATTTTTAAAAAAAATTACATATTTTTTCTTAGAAGTAAAGTACAAACTAATAACACATTTATCAATGTGTAATTCTTTATTTAATCTAGCTTGCAGCCATCATGTCAACTTTCTCTATCAGAATGACCAATGTCTGTCTGTGCCGGGGAAAAAACAATGGTATCTGAAAGCTTATTTTATTCATACCACTTAAAAAATAGGGTCGGCACCAGCATTCAAGGGTCGGTCGGGTAATCGGAACCACAACATTTTTTTTTTAGGCCCAAGCAAGGGTTGCTGAATAATAATTCTAACCCAGACCTTCACGGGTACCATATATCAGGAATATTGCCGAGTGTCATATAGCTGGAATATTGCTGAGTGCCATATAGCTGGAATATTGCTGAGTGCCATATATCAGGAATATTGCCGAGTGTCATATAGCTGGAATATTGCTGAGTGCCATATAGCTGGAATATTGCTGAGTGCCATATATCAGGAATATTGCCGAGTGTCATATAGCTGGAATATTGCTGAGTGCCATATAGCTGGAATATTGCTGAGTGTCATATAGCTGGAATATTGCTGAGTGTCATATAGCTGGAATATTGCTGAGTGTCATATAGCTGGAATATTGCTGAGTGTCATATAGCTGGAATATTGCTGAGTGCCATACAGCTGGAATAATATACAGCTGCTGAATATTGCTGAGTGCCATATAGCTGGAATATTGCTGAGTGCCATATAGCTGGAATATTGCTGAGTGCCATATAGCTGGAATATTGCTGAGTGCCATATAGCTGGAATATTGCTGAGTGCCATATAGCTGGAATATTGCTGAGTGCCATATAGCTGGAATATTGCTGAGTGCCATATAGCTGGAATATTGCTGAGTGCCATATAGCTGGAATATTGCTGAGTGTGCAGCTAAACAACAAACAAACAAACACTAAGGAAACTCAATACCAAATTTTCAAAAACTGCCACTCAGTATGCACAGGTTTTTGTCAATTGTGGTAGAATACTGTGATCACTTTGGGACATTTTCCTGGGTCTCCCCTGATTTAAGGCTCTGAGTCTCCTTAGTCCCCCAACATATACACCAGGGTAACCAAGGAAAATTGTCACAAGGTCTTTTTCATGACCTTTATGTTATAGAGACATAAAAAAACACTTAGGGTACACCTATATCAAAATGTTATTGCAGAAATACTCCAGGATGGCAGTCCCCATCCCTCCCTATTCAATTTCAAACCATGCAAAGAGTATCTTTCACAAACTAATTTTGACACTAAAAAACTCTACTCAACATGCCCGACAACTATGCAAAGAAACTGAACCTCTGAACTTGGGAATGCTGGTGGTTTGCTGACCGGCGAAACTGCACATGCTGAAGATATTTCTCTCTCTTTCTTCTGGTGGCGTGCTCTCACAGAAGTGTGAAGTGTTCGTACTCCACTGAATAGCGAGGATAGCTGAGAGAGTGCTGCAACAACCTGAATAGGAAATAATACACATTTTCAATTTTTCATTAAGGGTGTGCGGTAGTTTTGGCACACCAATACATTGTGATACAATACATCGGCAATACATACTGCGATACGTTGAAAATATAGCAATAAATTGGGGCATATATACAGATAAGTATATTGTATCATATTTATGTGTTCCATAATAAATATGGAGATGGAAAATATTATCTTTCTGACGATCTTTCCTTTAAGTCAGCATGTGAGTGAGTGAGTGGGTTTTACGCCGCTTTTAGCAATATTCCAGCAATATCACGGCAGGGGACACCAGAAATTGGCTTCACTCATTGTATAGATGTGGGGAATCGAACCCGTTTCATCAGCATGACCAGGATACCCAACTGCCCCTTTAAATCAGCATGTATGTGTCACTACTATGTGACCATATAATCTCCCTTGATTGAGCCTTGTTGGGATACAAATTGGCAAATGATTTTGCGACTGTTGCCTGACGTTACTACAGGGTATAACTGTCATAATTCATGAAAGTGTAAAGTGGCAATATAATGAAATACATACTGCAATTCTGGTTTAAGTACAGTAATATACTGTAACCTATATCATGTTACATAGGTTCATATTTCTACTGGGAATGAGAACTTATTATAACACTTGATCTTCATAGAAATGAGTGACTATTTGTGTCCTTTTTACTATGACAGAGGTTTACAAAGTCCGTACAGTGTAGTGGATTCACAAAGCCATTGGACAAAGACCTTTCTCATAGAATTACAGAGACATGCCAAGAGGACACAATGAAAATATATTTTTATACCACAGTACAGTACCATCATCATTACCAAAGTCTTCCACCTGTCCCAAATTCCCACAATGTAAGCAACAATTTCTATCAAGAACAAATCTAAAACCATAATAGCATAATAGTAATTTAAACCAAATCCGTAAGTATAAATATCTTACGACGTATGGTGCAAGAATACAATATGTTTCATCCATTTAATCAAGCTGGCAAGAAATATTTTGTAGCATCCATACAAAAAGCGTGCAAGATTTCTTTTCAGTTGCCTTTAAATAAAAAACATGACTCAAGCCAGTTTACTGTTGCCAAGCTGTCACTTTAAATCGCAATTTTCACCAATACCTATTCACACATATACTTTTACAACAATAAACTACGATTAACAGTTTAATATTCGCTCTTGTATACTAAGACCTGAGGCTTGTTTAATTATATACCTGTGCATTCATCAGTAATGTTTAAGTAGAGGAGTCGGACAGAAGTATTTACGTATCAATGCTATCATGCATATATCCTCGATACATATGACTTGTACACTTGAAACATGCAGTGTGTGGAAAGCCACGACCTGTGGAAATACTTTTCGACTTGTGTTATTGTTAACTGCAGCCTGTGTGGACGTAACAAGAGGAAAGTCTGCAAAGTAAGAGAAAACTGAATATGATGTAACTCGTAAGAATATTCGATACCTTACCGGTGGCTTACGAAACCAGCCATTAAACAAATGTTACCGTGATCTAATTATTATTTACCTGTGGTTGCACTGTACTATGTGTTAACATGGACGCCATCCAAGCTAGCTGCTAAAATTTGCTGTGGCGACAAAAATCTAACTTTCAGACAAACGTGCTGTATTATTATCAAAACGCACAACCTTCTCAATCACATTGCCTGACCACCATTACTGACTGGATCAGAAGCCTTCAGCGATAGGTCATTCACTAAGTATCTAGCCAATGATAATCATTGTAACAAATCCGCAGGAAGATGGGTGAAGGTTACAAAGAAAGGTAATTCTATACTAAATGTTAAAGCGTATCTTCGAATAAAATCTTGACTTTGCCATTGTTATCTGTGTAGGTTGTTTATCAGATACCATAGCTATCTTCTCACAGCATGTAACTTGTTTTCGTTTTGGTAATTGAATATTCTTGTGAGGGGTGGGGGGTGATGATGATTTTTTAATTTATTTTATTTTATTTATTTATTATTTTTATTTATTTTATTTTTTTGGGGGGCACCCATTTTGTTCTGGGGAGGTAGGGGTGGTGGTCATCGATTTTGTTCACATATATTGGGGGTGGGGGTGGTCATTGATTTTGTACATGACATGCAAGGGTGCGGGTCACTTTCTTTCTGCATAAATTTTAGGGTGGGTCATTCACATTGTATGCATGCTTTTCTATAAAAATCATCATCGCCCCCACCTCAGCCATAAATTATGAACTGTCACTTTGAATTTGGTGGTTCAATCTTCACTGCAAAAAAACCCCAACAGTATGGCAAATAATATTCACGATCCCAACTTTTTGGTTTTCTTTAAGCAATTCTAAAAGGAATGTATTAATAAATTTGGAATTTGAGTAGCCCTAATGTAATTGTGACTATATTGGTTATCTTGTTAGCCATATTTTAAGGGAATTGTTTTTCAAGCTTATGCATTGGGATATAATATGTTGATATAACCCTAGTACTTTTAATCAAGGGTTTTGTTTTCATGAAAAATGTTTGTTTTTCTTTTGACACTTAAAACAAAATTAACTATTAAAAAAAGAATTAACTGTGGTTTGTGAACGTACGAGATAGACCCGATACTGTCTACTTGCCAATTTACAATTAACTAAACCTGTGTAGCAGGTTCATGAGCTGGCCCAGTGACTATTGTGGTACAGAAAACATCCTAAATCCAGTATTGGAAATTGACCACTGTGAACATAATCCCGGTCTTTTTAAGCACCGCAATTCGCTGTGCAGTCTTGTCCACTGGACCTGTGGTTCGAATCCCAATTATGGCTCCAGGTTTGACTGTACTATATCCATGCTGGTGGGTCTCTCCAAGGTTGTAAACATCGGAGAGTCCTTATTTCGGGGCCTCCTCCGACATTGAGCTGAGACGCCATAATGCCACTGGAATAATGTTAAAAACGGTGGAAAACAATAACAGGTTGGTAGGCAATCAAGGCACAGGAGGTTTTAACAAGTAGAATGTTATTCATGTTCTGCATATTGGAATGGATAATGGTTTTGTGTGAGTAGTATTGTGGGAGGAGGATATAGTCTCCATTATTAACGTAAACGTGACTGTTTTCTGTTTGCTGCGGGCGATATAAGACACTGCAGATTATCCTATTGTTGTGTTCCAAACCATAAATGTCAAATATTGCTGCATTGAACGCCTTGATGCCACACGGAAATGACTCCCTGTATGGCCGCGACTGGTCACCCAGTGTTGCCGGAGGCGTGTATAGGCTGTTGGTACAACATGAAATGACTGCCTGTATGGCCGCGCCTGGCCACCCAGTGTTGCCGGAGGCGTGTATAGGCTGTTGGTACAACATGAAATGACTGCCTGTATGGCCGCGCCTGGCCACCCAGTGTTGCCGGAGGCGTGTATAGGCTGTTGGTACAACATGAAATGACTGCCTGTATGGCCGCGCCTGGTCACCCAGTGTTGCCGGAGGCGTGTATAGGCTGTTGGTACAACATGAAATGACTGCCTGTATGGCCGCGCCTGGCCACCCAGTGTTGCCGGAGGCGTGTATAGGCTGTTGGTACAACATGAAATGACTGCCTGTATGGCCGCGCCTGGCCACCCAGTGTTGCCGGAGGCGTGTATAGGCTGTTGGTACAACATGAAATGACTGCCTGTATGGCCGCGCCTGGCCACCCAGTGTTGCCGGAGGCGTGTATAGGCTGTTGGTACAACATGAAATGACTGCTCAGTATGGCCGCGCCTGGCCACCCAGTGTTGCCGGAGGCGTGTATAGGCTGTTGGTACAACATGAAATGACTGCCTGTATGGCCGCGCCTGGCCACCCAGTGTTGCCGGAGGCGTGGTATGACTGCCCGTATGGCCGCGCCTGGCAGTGTTGCCGGAGGCGTATAGGCTGTTGGTACAACATGAAATGACTGCCACATCCTCGATACATATGGCATGTACACTTACGCCCAAACATGCAGTGTGTGGAAAGCCACGACCTGTGGAAATACTTTTCGACTTTGTGTTGTTGGTAACTGCAGCCTGTGTGGACGTAACAAGAGGAGAAAGTCTGCAGAAGTAAGAAACTGAATATGATGGAGTGTATCGTAAGAATAGATGATGCCTTACCAGTGGCTTACAGAACCAGCCATTAAACAAATGTTACCGTGATCGGTATTTATTGTTTACCTGTGGTTTGCACTGTACTGCATATTATTTAACATGGACGCCATCCAGTATGGCTGCTAAAATTTGCTGTGGCGACCAAAATCTAACTTTCAGACAAGCATTAACCTTATTATTGGTATCGAGCGCTTTACGAAACCTTTATGATCACATTGCCTGACCACCATTGCGAGGCTGGATCAGGCGCTTCCAGCGATAGGTCATTCCTTGAAATATCCTAGCCAATGATGTCGTTGTTGTAACAAATCCCACCGCAGGAAGATGGGTGAAGTTTACAAAGAAGGTAATTCTATACTAAAATGTTAAAGGCGTATCTTCGAATAAAATCTTGGCTTTGCCATTGTTATCTGGCGGAGTTTATTTATCCAGACTCTCGCAGCTATGTACTCACAGCATGTAACTTGTTTTCGTTTTGGTAATTGAATGATATTCTTGTGTACGGGGGTGGGGTGATGATGCGATTTTTTATTTTATTTTTATTTTATTTATTTATTATTTTTATTTATTTTATTTTTAGATTGGGGGCACCCATTTTGTTCTGGGAGGTAGGGGTGAATTGGTCATCGATTTTTGTTCACATATATTGGGGGTGGGGTGGTCATTGATTTTTGTACACTTAGCAGCCGCAGGGGTGCGGGTCACTTTCTTTCTGCATAGAATTTTAGGGTGGGTCATTCACGGTGTATGCATGCTTTTCCATAAAATCAAAGTATTCGCCACCCCCACCTCAACTCATAAATTATGAACTGTCACTTTGAATTTGGTGGTTTCCAATCTTCACTGCAAAAACCAACAGTATCATAAAATAATATTCACGATCCCAACTTTTCTTTTGGCACTTAAAACAAAATTAACTATTAAAAAGATTAACTTTGTGGTTTGTAGACATTACGAGATAGACCCGGTATACTTTTGTTTGCAGTTAAACTGGGACCTTAGGAAGCTAACCCAGTGACTATTGTGGTACAGAAAACATCCTAAAATTCCAGTAATCCATCTTTCCATTCCTTCACCCATCCCATTCCATTCCCTTCCATCTCCATTCCTTATCCATTCCTCCATTAAGTTTCCTGAATATCTTCCTTTCATTTCTAAATTCCTTCATCCATTTCCATATTCCTTCTTCCATTTATATGCATGTCCATTATTCTCACTGTAACTATTTGTCCATTATCCATATTTATATTCCATTTCCATATCCATCTTCTATTCATTTTCTGTCCATTTGTCTCATTTATTATTTCTTTTCTTTCTACCATATGCTTATTTACCAGGCTATTTATTTCTTTCCTCCACCTATGCTTTTCTTTCCTGTGTGCAGGCTGTCTTTATTATTTTCTTTATGGCTTCTTTTTAGTATTATTTTTATTATTTTCATGGCTACCCTGCCACTGCTTGTCTTCTTCCATTGGCTAAGGTCATATTTACCTATTTTGTCTCCATTCCGTCTTCTTTATGCTTCCTGTATTTCTCGTTCATTCCGTCTTCCTGTGTGGTCTCGATTCGGGTCATGTGTCTTGGGATTGTGTGTTTTCCTTCGTGTGCTGTCCTTACATTGTGTTCATGTCAATGTGTGGTGTGTGTCCTTGTCTTGGTCCATGCATTCTGTCAGCCTCTGGGCTCTTTGTCCTTGTGTCCTCCGTTCTGTGTGTTGATCCATGCGTGTGTGTCCATCTGTGTCTGCCTTTCGATGTGTGTCCGTCTTCCGGGTGTCCGTGTTCCTCCATCCGTCCTTGTCCACTGGCTTTCCACTTCCATTCCTCCTTTTATATTCCATCCTTTTCATTCCTTTTCCATCCATATCCATATACCATCCATTGCATCCAGTTCATCATGTCCTTCCATTCCATCCATATCCATTCCATATCCATGCTATCATTCCGTCCAGTTCATCCATCCATGCTATTCCATCATCCTTCCATGTGTTCCATCTTCTTCCTTCTTCGTTCCATGTCCATATCCATCCATCCTTATCCACTATCCATTCCTGTCCTTCTTCCTTCCATGCTCTTATTTCCTCCACTGTCGTTCCATCCATGTTCCGTCAGTTCATCATCATGTCCAGATACTGTGTGCCACCATGTCTGTGCTGGGGTTGTCCATTCCATTCCTTCTTCCATTCCTTCTTCCTCCATTCCTTCTTCCATTCCATGTTTTCCACCATTCCTCCGTCTTCCATTCCATTCCATCCATATCCATTCCTTCCATTCATCATTTCCATTCCATTCTTCATGTCCATTGTGTCCATGTCATTCCATTCATTCCATTCCATTCCATTCCATTCCATTCCATTCCATCCATTCCATTCCATTCCATTTCCATTCCATTCCATTCCATTCCATTCCATTCCATTCCATTCATCCATTCCATTCCATTCCATTCCATTCCATTCCATTCCTCATTTCCATTCCATTCCATTCCATTCCATTCCATTCCATTCCATTCCATTCCATCCATCCATTCCATTCATTCATTTCCATTCCATTCCATTCCATTCCATTCCATTCCATTCCATTCCATTCCCATTCCATTCCAT